ACCTGCATTCAGGTTTGATACTCTTTAATCAAGATGGTTTTTATTGATTTATTTTAACTGAACTGTGAAATATAAAGAAAAAATTGTGTGCTATACAATACAGTATATGACCTGGAGAGTTGACAGCGTTCTGCATTTACTTACAGATATGCACCTAACAGATATTTATTTACCAACTTACATTACTAAACAGGCAAAAATATAGTGTTACACATTCATCACATGATTCTGTCACAATATTCTATCAATATACTCCTGTTGTATTTTTGTAAAAAAAATCACGGACTGTAACATTTAGTGACCTCTTAAAATGATGATCAAATCATATCACATTGCTACTGCATATTATGCTATTATGTAACAATGAAAACAAGAAATTTTTTTTTTTTTCTGTTTTGCAAAATTTTTATCATGTGATGAAAAGGATCTTAAATTTGTTCACATTTCATATTGATTGATGAAAATTATTTTGAATTTTCATTTCAGCTGTTAGAAGGTCGCTGAATGAAAAATTCCAAGATTATTTTCATCAATGACATATAAAATAGAAACACATCTAAGACCTTATAAATAACTAGGACAAATGAAGTGCTACTAAAATCTATGTTTTCTACAATTCATACCTGAAGAAACATGATATCCGCTAATGAATATTCATAAGGTAAACACATGCACACTACATGGGGTAAAGGGTAGGTTTAGGTATCAATCACAAAATTGGTGATAAAAACTATATCATAATGTGTTGTGAATGCAATATAAAAAGCTAGTGCCAAAACAAATCTTCAAATATTCCTTCCATGTCATAATATTTTACATCACAATTAAAAAATTCAAGATCGTTGCTTGTAGTAATAAACAAATTATTTTCAAGGATTCAGCATACATCAGAGCCTGACGTTAATCACAATAGAGTTAGATATGGGAGGAACATATTATGTCCTGTAATATATCGTTACAGGCAAAAGGGTGGATTTTTTAAAATGTAGTACATGTAATATTTTCGGGGGATATTGTATGAAGATGCTGTTGAATCGTACACAATATGAACCTGATGAATTAAATGTTTTCAAATTAAACTGATGAATTCAACCAATCATCAATAGTAGTTAGAGTCTGCATGTGATTATCAGAAGATCTGTAATTATATGTAGATTTGTGGGATGGCTAAATACAGCATGACCATTAAATACTGTTCAATACCATTTTACACATTACTAAGACATGACCTACACATTACTGAGACTTGACCTACATATTACCAAGACTTGACCTACACATTACTGAGACTTGATCTACACATTACTGAGACTTGACCTACATTTCACTAAGACTTGACCTACATATTACCAAGACTTGACCTCACATTAGTAAGACTTAATCATTGTTAAGACTTTGCCTACATATTACCAAGACTTAACATTCACTTTACCAAGACTTGACTATCATCATGTCTTGACCTACATTCTACTCTAAGACTTGACTTACACTTTACCAAGACTTGACTATCATCATGTCTTGACCTACATTCTACTCTAAGACTTGACTTACACTTTACTAAGACTTGACTATCATCATGTCTTGACCTACATTCTACTCTAAGACTTGACTTACACTTTACCAAGACTTCACTATCATCATGTCTTGACCTACATTCTACTCTAAGACTTGACTTACACTTTACCAAGACTTCACTATCATCATGTCTTGACCTACATTCTACTCTAAGACTTGACTTACACTTTACTAAGACTTGACTATCATCATGTCTTGACCTACATTCTACTCTAAGACTTGACTTACACTTTACCAAGACTTCACTATCATCATGTCTTGACCTACATTCTACTCTAAGACTTGACTTTCACTTTACTAAGACTTGACTATCATCATGTCTTGACCTACATTCTACTCTAAGACTTGACTTACACTTTACTAAGACTTGATCATCATCATGTCTTGACCTACATTCTACTCTAAGACTTGACTTTCACTTTACTAAGACTTGACTATCATCATGTCTTGACCTACATTCTACTCTAAGACTTGACTTACACTTTACCAAGACTTGACTATCATCATGTCTTGACCTACATTCTACTCTAAGACTTGACTTACACTTTACCAAGACTTGACTATCATCATGTCTTGACCTACATTCTACTCTAAGACTTGACTTACACTTTACTAAGACTTGACTATCATCATGTCTTGACCTACATTCTACTCTAAGACTTGACTTACACTTTACCAAGACTTCACTATCATCATGTCTTGACCTACATTCTACTCTAAGACTTGACTTACACTTTACCAAGACTTCACTATCATCATGTCTTGACCTACATTCTACTCTAAGACTTGACTTACACTTTACTAAGACTTGACTATCATCATGTCTTGACCTACATTCTACTCTAAGACTTGACTTACACTTTACCAAGACTTCACTATCATCATGTCTTGACCTACATTCTACTCTAAGATTTGACTTTCACTTTACTAAGACTTGACTATCATCATGTCTTGACCTACATTCTACTCTAAGACTTGACTTACACTTTACCAAGACTTGACTATCATCATGTCTTGACCTACATTCTACTCTAAGACTTGACTTACACTTTACCAAGACTTGACTATCATCATGTCTTGACCTACATTCTACTCTAAGACTTGACTTACACTTTACCAAGACTTGACTATCATCATGTCTTGACCTACATTCTACTCTAAGACTTGACTTACACTTTACCAAGACTTGACTATCATCATGTCTTGACCTACATTCTACTCTAAGACTTGACTTACACTTTACCAAGACTTCACTATCATCATGTCTTGACCTACATTCTACTCTAAGACTTGACTTACACTTTACTAAGACTTGACTATCATCATGTCTTGACCTACATTCTACTCTAAGACTTGACTTACACTTTACCAAGACTTGACTATCATCATGTCTTGACCTACATTCTACTCTAAGACTTGACTTACACTTTACCAAGACTTCACTATCATCATGTCTTGACCTACATTCTACTCTAAGACTTGACTTACACTTTACTAAGACTTGACTATCATCATGTCTTGACCTACATTCTACTCTAAGACTTGACTTACACTTTACCAAGACTTCACTATCATCATGTCTTGACCTACATTCTACTCTAAGACTTGACTTTCACTTTACTAAGACTTGACTATCATCATGTCTTGACCTACATTCTACTCTAAGACTTGACTTACACTTTACCAAGACTTGACTATCATCATGTCTTGACCTACATTCTACTCTAAGACTTGACTTACACTTTACTAAGACTTGACTATCATCATGTCTTGACCTACATTCTACTCTAAGACTTGACTTACACTTTACTAAGACTTGACTATCATCATGTCTTGACCTACATTCTACTCTAAGACTTGACTTACACTTTACCAAGACTTCACTATCATCATGTCTTGACCTACATTCTACTCTAAGACTTGACTTTCACTTTACTAAGACTTGACTATCATCATGTCTTGACCTACATTCTACTCTAAGACTTGACTTACACTTTACCAAGACTTGACTATCATCATGTCTTGACCTACATTCTACTCTAAGACTTGACTTACACTTTACCAAGACTTGACTATCATCATGTCTTGACCTACATTCTACTCTAAGACTTGACTTACACTTTACCAAGACTTGACTATCATCATGTCTTGACCTACATTCTACTCTAAGACTTGACTTACACTTTACCAAGACTTCACTATCATCATGTCTTGACCTACATTCTACTCTAAGACTTGACTTACACTTTACCAAGACTTGACTATCATCATGTCTTGACCTACATTCTACTCTAAGACTTGACTTACACTTTACTAAGACTTGACTATCATCATGTCTTGACCTACATTCTACTCTAAGACTTGACTTACACTTTACCAAGACTTGACTATCATCATGTCTTGACCTACATTCTACTCTAAGACTTGACTTACACTTTACCAAGACTTCACTATCATCATGTCTTGACCTACATTCTACTCTAAGACTTGACTTACACTTTACTAAGACTTGACTATCATCATGTCTTGACCTACATTCTACTCTAAGACTTGACTTACACTTTACCAAGACTTCACTATCATCATGTCTTGACCTACATTCTACTCTAAGACTTGACTTTCACTTTACTAAGACTTGACTATCATCATGTCTTGACCTACATTCTACTCTAAGACTTGACTTACACTTTACCAAGACTTGACTATCATCATGTCTTGACCTACATTCTACTCTAAGACTTGACTTACACTTTACTAAGACTTGACTATCATCATGTCTTGACCTACATTCTACTCTAAGACTTGACTTACACTTTACCAAGACTTCACTATCATCATGTCTTGACCTACATTCTACTCTAAGACTTGACTTACACTTTACCAAGACTTGACTATCATCATGTCTTGACCTACATTCTACTCTAAGACTTGACTTACACTTTACCAAGACTTCACTATCATCATGTCTTGACCTACATTCTACTCTAAGACTTGACTTACACTTTACCAAGACTTGACTATCATCATGTCTTGACCTACATTCTACTCTAAGACTTGACTTACACTTTACCAAGACTTGACTATCATCATGTCTTGACCTACATTCTACTCTAAGACTTGACTTACACTTTACCAAGACTTGACTATCATCATGTCTTGACCTACATTCTACTCTAAGACTTGACTTACACTTTACCAAGACTTGACTATCATCATGTCTTGACCTACATTCTACTCTAAGACTTGACTTACACTTTACCAAGACTTGACTATCATCATGTCTTGACCTACATTCTACTCTAAGACTTGACTTACACTTTACCAAGACTTGACTATCATCATGTCTTGACCTACATTCTACTCTAAGACTTGACTTTCACTTTACTAAGACTTTACCATTACTAAGACTTAACAAGTATAATTACCTGTACATAGTATACACCTCTACTCCTTGCGTACAACATGAGGAAAGAGAAATCCAAATTCTGTTTGGTTCTCCATCTACAAAAAAAAATCAGTTTAGATATCATTGAAGGTATTCTGCAGTTACAAGCTGCAACCTCTCCCTCATTTCTCCCGCTGTCAATATAAGGAAGGGAATTCTCTTCCTCATTTAAAAAAATTAAAAGAAAAGATTTTATGATAAATCTTTTTGGCAACATCTATGAGTATACATTCATTTACAGACAACTATCAACCTATGAGACTGGAAAATGAAATAAAAATACCATTAAAATATTAATTCTATAATGTTAACAAATCAGATTCACAGTATTACACATATAATTTGTATCAGAAGTGATCAGGAGTCATTCCTCACATAAATAAATGAAGAACACAATAAGCGACCTTTGACCCCTATATCATGCAGCTGACATTACAGATTATTCAAATCGTTTTCAGTGATGCAGATCTACATATGGAATGTAAAAAATAAAATACAAATAAACGGGCACACAACTGTGACAGGACACATGAAGGTGCTGAAATATCATAATTCAAAATTCACACAAAATTATTTTGAAATCAAAATTCAATATCTCATTATATTCTGATCACATACTTGACCCTATCTTTGGTGTCTCCATATGTCTGTGGTAAGTTGTTCAGGTTTGGGTAGAACTCTGGGGAGGGAGAGATGATCTCCAATAAACCACTGTCTACGTGTTGACCAAACCTGCACACAATAAATAGTTAGATACACATCATTCAGTACGTACCTCGCACAACTGAGATACATATACTACCAGTGGGGTAGAGTGTTCCAAGATATATTTCGCAGTATAAATAAATTAAAATCAATGAAATATTCTGGAAAAATGATCAACTATACATTACTTGAAGGAAAAATAGAGATTATCTGTTTAATCATCATGTAAAATTTCTAAAAGAAGACAATTACCCGATAATAACCAGAGGGTTTACATTAACACAGTACTGTTATAAACCACATATATCAAACTACTGTGACATTCGATGTATAAATCATACCAAATGCATACCTTTCAATATTTCTCAGTGTCCTTTATGGCTTTTAAATTGACCAATGTCACTTTTAATATTAAAATCATTTTTCTTCTATTTCCCATAGCAGTAAATGTGTGTTTTTTTTTTACAAAGATTATTCCCAATAAATAGTAAAAATAGGAGTAGTAAGGAAGAGATGTGCTTTGTGATGAATAAAAATCTGTCAGGCCATTAAGTCCATCATAAATTGCCTGTGATAAAATATTATTTAATTAAACAACCTACAAAAATAACTTCTCGCTAATTAAGCAATACGCCTTGTTTAAATGATATCTTTGTAATTGTGAGGGCGAGTGTTGATCTTCCTGAAATGACTCACCAACCAGTAAACTATTTTTTAGATAACATTACTGAAGTGCAGTCTTACATAAAACACTAAAACAATCTAAAAAAAATATTGACATGTTTACAACAGCTGTATATTACATAAACAATCCATTGAAATATCAGTTACAAGTTGTCACGCTGACATCACGTATCCATGACAACATATACACTAATGACAGAAGATTGTGTATATTTCTGATAAGGACACCAGTGATGTAAGAAAATATGAGAATCAATATACAGTGAAGACAAATCGACCAATGGCCTAATGTATGATGTAAACTAGCTGGTACAGAGATAGTGGTAATTAACTCTCACTGGGGGCAACATATGGATTTTATCGTCCTCTCTGCACTCATTACTTTTACTTGCCACAGAACATATTGGATAGCATTACGATGACCAAATAAATATCATGTAATTAATTGTTTAATATAACACCTGTATAAGGACGTATGAGAGAGCCCATTTTAAACACGTATGTCTTCAATTTCAGTTGGTAGTTTTATTTTAGCATCTAATAATTTTCATTCAAGGATCAAGTTTTAATTAATTTTGAGTCTTTGATGTATTTCAGCCCTTTCAGAATATTTTATTTTAGGCTCTACACACCTGCACAAAATAAATCGTGGCTCCTGTTGTCAACTTCACATACAATATCGCTACATATGCTATCAGCCTTTCTACATTCTCCATACTGGAACTAATCAAATTACTTGCTTGTGCCTTCAATTTTGCCATGACATGTTCCAGGGAATAAAAGTGATTCTAACTGCTGGAGATTTGGGGATAGCCTTTTTATGAAAATGCCTGAAAACACTAACATAGCCTACAAAACTTTATCTCAATATACTTACTCATTCTGTATCAGTTTCCCGACTTCTTCAACATATTCCATGTTCCAGGGCTTCAAAAACCAAAACATATACACAATTAATTTCTGTTTTAAAAATTTGGAAACAGATTAATCTTTAACTTTCAAGAAAATCATTTTCTTTCCAACCACAGGTATCTATCTAGACATTATTTACAGCAACAGAATGCCACCGCTTGGGAAAGTCATGATCAAAATTTAAATATATACATGTTTCAATTAATCTCTGTAGTACTTGATTGTATCTCTACGATAAGTATACAATATATCTATTGAAACTCCATTAAAACAGGCAAAAGTTTTTACCTGAATCACGATGCTTACCTCCGCTACGAAGACAACAATCAAACTTTCGTCACGCTCCTTAGGAGACATGCCACTGATGAGAGATTTCACTGTTGCCGTTAGATAACTAACATTGTCTCTTTTAATGGTGGGGATACCAAACACGATAGAAGCTGTAAAAATACAATTCAGATCGTAAAACAGCCTTATCTGTGTGCATGGTATTTCTGTTATGTTTACGACAACTCCTAAACTCGAACATAGAAATTGTGATATTGGGAGACATAGATTTATGTCCCTTTAAACTTTTACTTGTAATGGCACAGCTTTATACATACTACACCCATGTCAGTAGAAGTGAACAGAAACTAGCTGACTCTGACTTGATAAGTGACTGACTTACTTAGCATTTAACCTGGTATTTTCGTTAAAGATCACATTCTAAAGGTAACATTTGTTTTCAGAATAAAAGATCCCTTTTGGTATCATAACCTATTCATAATACAACAACACTTATTATTCTGGTACATACTGTATAAAAAAAATTAGATTCACTGGAATGCTAGCGTGAATGGCCGATGATTAAAACATTCGAAATTTATTTTATTTTACTTTTTTGTTGTTGTTGTTTTTATCTCCAAACTATCATATAAGACCGACGACTTTTACATATAACTATGTGAAGGGAGGTAATCCAATATGGCGGACACAGAACTCGGGAATGATAACCCCAAGAATGGCATGTTCCTGCGTATAATGCGCACCCCCTTTTTGACACGACAGTTTTAGCTTGAAAAAGTGCGCACTATACGTGAAAATTTACGGTATACTGGAGACTCCGTCCAAACATTGAGATTTGGAGATTTTCACAGATTTACCCTGCTATTCTTGGTGAATTGATACACAGAGCATACAGTACACAGTAAGAACCCCGATTAAAATAAAATAAGAAAATGTCTTAACATCAGAAACCTGTCGATGATGATGTAACATTTACAAGTTTATTTTGATAAACACTGAAAGCTTACTGCCATATCTGCTGTTGGTTAGCTGATACTTGGGCTTCAAACTCTCTGACTTGCCGATGAGGTGGGGAAGGTAAGTAAAAAGACTGGGCAGGTGCAATGACCCCTGAGAGTAGAGGTCACTGATGTTTGGAAGACTGGACATTGGCAAGCCCAAGCCAAAGTCAGCAGAAGTTCTGAAACAAAGAAATGGAAAGTCACCCATACTTATAAGATACTGCTGGAGCAACACTGTGACCATAGATACCATCAATATACATATACTGACCAGACACCAGGTGTACACACTAATCAAAGGAACCATGTACACCATACTGACCAGACACCATGTATAACATTCTGACCACAGACACCAGGTATAACATACTGACTAGACACCAGGTGTACACACTAATCAAAGGAACCATGTACACCATACTGACCAGACACCATGTATAACATTCTGACCACAGACACCAGGTATAACATACTGACCAGACACCATGTATAACATACTGACCAGACACCACGTAGAACACAATGACCACAGACACCAGGTACAACATACTGACCACAGACACCACGTAGAACATACTGACCAGACACCAGGTATAACATACTGACCAGACACCATGTATAACATACTGACCACAGACACCATGTATAACATACTGACCACAGACACCATGTATAACATACTGACCACAGACACAATGTAGAATATAACTGACAACAGACATCTATGTTAACACAATGACCACAGACATCTATTTCAACACAATGACCACAGACATCTGTTTTAACACAATGACCACAGACATCTATGTTTACACAATGACCACAGACATCTGTTTTAACACAATGACCACAGACATCTATGTTAACACAATGACCACAAACATCTATGTTTACACAATGACCACAGACATCTGTTTTAACACAATGACCACAGACATCTATGTTAACACAATGACCACAAACATCTCTGTTTACACAATGACCACAGACATCTGTTTTAACACAATGACCACAGACATCTATGTTAACACAATGACCACAAACATCTATGTTTACACAATGACCACAGACATCTGTTTTAACACAATGACCACAGACATCTATGTTAACACAATGACCACAGACATCTGTTTTAACACAATGACCACACCTGTAAGTACAGGAGAAATCAAACTGCATAAGAAATCCTCACATTTATTTTCCATAAGAAGTGAACAACTTAACAACTCTGTAAAGTTGTGTCAATACAAAACAAAATTCTGTGCGGAAACTGATACATTGCAGTGTAAACCAGTGAAAGAAGGTGACACAATTAATGAGTGATTTTGAAATCAGTTGTATACCTTACTCAATTTCAGACCGTGATAAAAAATATATACGCATATTTTATCTAGTTTTATTCCCAACCTATTAGCATAGCTTTCACATCATTTAGATTAATTACATCATTTCATTGCCGTTCATACCTTCAATCCAAATATCACATTTGACAAGATAATGATACAAGTGTATTATTTTAATGTAGTTTCATAGTTTGGTTTGTCAAAATGAGTATGTGAACATCATCAACACCACCGATAAAATGTTGAACTTAAAAGGTATAGTAGAGAATGTGTGTATGATTTAAGCTTTTCCAACATGTGATTATGATTAAATTAAGAAATATGAACAATTGTTGAATATTTCATATTTTTAAGGTAAATTATTTGTGATGATAGAGGAGTCTGGACTGTACTCATACAAATGTAGCTATATCAATATAACACTACCAATGACAGATTGTATAGACTTAGAGTCAGGCCTATCACAGAATATACATAGATTGTCCAGACTCAGAGTCAGACCTATCACAGAATATACATAGATTGTCCAGACTCAGAGTCAGGTCTATCACAGAATATACATAGATTGTCCAGACTCTGAGTCAGGTCTATCACAGAATATACATAGATTGTCCAGACTCAGAGTCAGACCTATCACAGAATATACATAGATTGTCCAGACTCAGAGTCAGACCTATCACAGAATATACATAGATTGTCCAGACTCAGAGTCAGGTCTATCACAGAATATACATAGATTGTCCAGACTCAGAGTCAGACCTATCACAGAATATACATAGATTGTCCAGACTCAGAGTCAGGTCTATCACAGAATATACATAGATTGTCCAGACTCCGAGTCAGACCTATCACAGAATATACATAGATTGTCCAGACTCAGAGTCAGACCTATCACAGAATATACATAGATTGTCCAGACTCAGAGTCAGGTCTATCACAGAATATACATAGATTGTCCAGACTCAGTTGTCCACACTTGGAGTCAGACCTATCACAGAATATACATAGATTGTCCAGACTCAGAGTCAGGTCTATCACAGAATATACATAGATTGTCCAGACTCAGTTGTCCACACTTGGAGTCAGACCTATCACAGAATATAAATAGATTGTCCAGACTCAGAGTCAGACCTATCACAGAATATACATAGATTGTCCAGACTCCGAGTCAGACCTATCACAGAATATACATAGATTGTCCAGACTCCGAGTCAGACCTATCACAGAATATACATAGATTGTCCAGACTCAGAGTCAGACCTATCACAGAATATACATAGATTGTCCAGACTCAGAGTCAGGTCTATCACAGAATATACATAGATTGTCCAGACTCAGAGTCAGACCTATCACACAATATACATAGATTGTCCAGACTCAGAGTCAGACCTATCACACAATATACATAGATTGTCCAGACTCAGAGTCAGACCTATCACACAATATACATAGATTGTCCAGACTCAGAGTCAGACCTATCACACAATATACATAGATTGTCCAGACTCAGAGTCAGGTCTATCACAGAATATACATAGATTGTCCAGACTCAGAGTCTGACCTATCACAGAATATACATAGATTGTCCAGACTCAGAGTCAGGTCTATCACAGAATATACATAGATTGTCCAGACTCAGAGTCAGATGTATCACAGAATATACATAGATTGTCCAGACTCAGAGTCAGGTCTATCACAGAATATACATAGATTGTCCAGACTCAGAGTCAGGTCTATCACAGAATATACATAGATTGTCCAGACTCAGAGTCAGGTCTATCACAGAATATACATAGATTGTCCAGACTCAGAGTCAGACCTATCACACAATATACATAGAATTTCAGATGTTTTAGAATTAAGATATAAATCATTAACATTGTACTATTGATTGAATTTTTACAAAGTTATCTTATTTTGTAAATATTCCTTGAGATAAACTGATAAAAATGAACAATGACATCACTATACGTAAACATAACTTGTGTTAACAGATAAAAATTACAGATATTCAAGGCTCTTCAAAAAGGGCACCTTCATCACTAAAATAAAACATAGCCAGATAAAAAATATATTGTCAGTGTTTTAAATGACCCTGGTGTTTACACAGCAAGACAACAAGTGAATAAAACCTTATCAACAATAACAACATCCAACAGCAAAATATTGAAGTTGCGATATCTTCTGAAATTTCCGACCACCTACTCAAGTCTCCTCAAAAGACAAGTGGTTAGGGTCAACAAACGCCCAACAAAACAAAGCCACCAAGTATGGTATTCAAGTGTCCAAACAGAAGTATACATTTGCCCTATATAGGATATCTACAAGGGAACTAAAAGAACCTGCCAATCTCCACCTGCTCTAATTATCTTTATGGTCTCAACTTAACCAAATTTTGAATCTATCAACAAATAATCAGATTTCATAGAAACTGAATTATTGGACAAATTCTTCAGCAAAAAACTGAGTAAACCAAATGTGATAGGTAAGCTCTCATCATAACAGCTAATCATACTCATAAGAACTAACCATACTCACCACAGCTCACAATACTCATTACAGTCGATCATACCCATCACAGCTCATCAAACTCATCACAGCTCGTCAAACTCATCACAGCTCATAATACTCATTACAGTCCATCATACCCATCAAAGCTCATCAAACCCATCACAGCTCATCAAACTCATCACAGCTCATCAAACTCATCACAGCTCGTCAAACTCATCACAGCTCATAATACTCATTACAGTCCATCATACCCATCAAAGCTCATCAAACCCATCACAGCTCATCAAACTCATCACAGCTCATCAAACTCATCACACCTGATCAAACTCATCAAACTCATCACACCTGATCAAACTCATCACACCTGATCAAACTCATCACATCTCATCAAACTCATCACAGCTGATCAAACTCATCACAGCTCATCACAGCTCATCAAACTCATCACACCTGATCACACTCATCACAGCTGATCACACTCATCACAGCTCATCACAGCTCATCAAACTCATCACAGCTGATCACACTCATCACAGCTCATCACACTCATCACAGCTCATCACAGCTCATCAAACTCATCACAGCTGATCACACTCATCACAGCTGATCAAACTCATCACACCTGATCAAACTCATCACACCTGATCACACTCATCACAGCTGATCACACTCATCACAGCTCATCACAGCTCATCAAACTCATCACAGCTGATCACACTCATCACAGCTCATCACACTCATCACAGCTCATCACAGCTCATCAAACTCATCACACCTGATCACACTCATCACAGCTCATCACACTCATCACAGCTCATCACAGCTCATCAAACTCTCACAGCTGATCACACTCATCACAGCTGATCAAACTCATCACACCTGATCAAACTCATCACACCTGATCACACTCATCACAGCTGATCACACTCATCACAGCTCATCACAGCTCATCAAACTCATCACAGCTGATCACACTCATCACAGCTCATCACACTCATCACAGCTCATCACAGCTCATCAAACTCATCACACCTGATCACACTCATCACAGCTCATCACACTCATCACAGCTCATCACAGCTCATCAAACTCATCACAGCTGATCACACTCATCACAGCTGATCAAACTCATCACACCTGATCAAACTCATCACACCTGATCACACTCATCACAGCTGATCACACTCATCACAGCTGATCACAGCTCATCAAACTCATCACAGCTGATTACACTCATCACAGCTCATCACACTCATCACAGCTCATCACAGCTCATCAAACTCATCACAGCTCATCAAACTCATCACAGTTCATCAAACTCATCACAGTTCATCAAACTCATCACAGCTCATCAAGCTCATCACAGCTCATCAAACTCATCACAGCTCATCAAACTCATCACAGGTGATCAAACTCATCACATCTGATCACACTCATCACAGCTCATCACAGCTCATCAAACTCATCACAGTTCATCAAACTCATCACAGTTCATCAAACTCATCACAGCTCATTAAGCTCATCACAGCTCATCAAACTCATCACAGCTCATCAAACTCATCACAGCTCATCAAACTCATCACAGCTCATCACAGCTCATCAAACTCATCACAGCTCATCACAGCTCATCACAGCTCATCAAACTCATCACAGCTCATCAAACTCATCACAACTGATCAAACTCATCACAGCAGATCGAACTCATCACAGCTCATCACAGCTCATCAAACTCATCACAGCTCATCACAGCTCATCAAACTCGTCACAACTGATCAAACTCATCACAGCTCATCAAACTCATCACAGCTCATCAAACTCATCACAGCTCATCAAACTCATCACAGCTAATCACACTTATCACAGCTCATGAAACTCATCACAGCTCATGAAACTCATCACAGCTCATCAAACTCATCACAGCTCATCAAACTCATCACAGCTAATCACACTCATCACAGCTCACCAAACTCATCATCGGTGATCACATTCATCTCAGTTACTACAACAAACTTATCAAAGTTGAGAATTTTCATCAAATTGATTATATAGAAATCACCAAAGCTCCAAGGTACAAAATTTTTTAAACATAAATAGCAGTAACATGGAACTCTGTAACCCTCTCTACACATAGGACCCTTACTTTTGAAATAAATATAATTTCTTACAAATCACGACAATATAAAAACAATAAGGACAATACACAACCAGGCATGTGAAGAAAACAAAGGCAAAGCTGAAATACTGAAGAGCTATACCTGAACACTTCATTAGACGTGTATCTGTGAGAATAGAAGACTCATCTATAATATAGAACTGACATTACCTGGGATTAAATTTATAGAACAAACATTATTCATGATGAAATTTATAGAACAGACATAAGCTGTGATGACAGTTATTGAACAGACACATGCTGTGATAAAATTTATAGAAGTCATTTTTTGTGATGAAATTAATTGAACAGACATTATTTGTGATGAAATCCTAAGAACAGACATTATTCATGATGAAATCTATAGAACTGACATTATTCATGATGAAATCTATAGAACTGACATTATCTGTAATGAAATTTATAGAACAGACATTATCTGTGATGAGATTTATAGAACAGACATTTTTTGTGATGAAATTAATAGAACAGACATTATTTGTGATGAAATCCTAAGAACAGACATTATTCATGATGAAATCTATAGAACAGACATTATCTGTGATGAAATTTATAGAACATACATTTTTTGTGATGAAATTAATTGAACAGACATTATTTGTGATGAAATCCTAAGAACAGACATTATTCATGATGAAATCTATAGAACAGACATTATCTGTGATGAAATTTATAGAACATACATTTTCTGTGATGAAATTTATAGAACAGACATAAGCTGTGATAAAATTTATAGAACAGACATTATTTGTGATGAAATCCTAAGAACAGACATTTTCTGTAATGAAATTTACAGAACTGAGGAAATTGAAAGGACAAACTTCCTTTATGACATAAATGTAAAGAACAGGCATTATATGTGAAGTAAACAGCTTATTCAGAGAACAGCTTACACACTGAGAACAGACATTATCTACAGGGAAATAAAACTGATATCTCACTCATAGTGTTGTTGGACACATTATTTTTCATACCAGTAAGTACATTAGTGTAGAGTTTAAAATTACCTGTTGGTTACATTGCTGTGGGCAAGAGTCTGCAGGAGATGTGTAAATTGACTTCGGACCATGTGCAAGTCATTTTCACGCTGTCTGTTCAGTAACTCTGCTGATTGTAATTTCTCTCTAAGTTCTGAGAATCTTCGTTCCAAAAGCTGTTCGTAATTACCATCTGTGGAAAAAAACAGAGAGTACCCTTCATTTATGCACGTATAATTTAAAACTTATAATTAAAACCAGAAAAGTGTCAGTCTTGGTAACGTAACATTCATTCAATCCAGTCAACATATCAATCAACACAAATTAAACATACCGTAAATGTTTACATAAATTATCCTTTTTTCAGGGAAAAAAAATGATGGCAATATTTTTAAAACATAAAGAGAATGGGTTATAGTTATAAAGCATTCATTGTAGTGAGAATATTTCTCACTCACATACCACACAAAAAAAAAAACAAAGGAAGCCATGATTCGTCATCTAGATATTTCACCTCGATGTTGAGCAATCATTTCATAAAAAAAAACAGAGGCACTTTTCAAGAAAAACAACCCATGTTGACTTTTTATGTGGACAAAAAAAGATCTTATTAGCATAAATTTTCATTAATTTATAAGTAAGCTTATTCATATGTAAATGAAGCCTGAGTTTGAACATTGCTAAATGTCTCATATCTTACTTTATCATTAAAAATACCTTATTACGAGTGTAGTAACAGGTACACCCTAATATGAATTACTGGGGTATTACACAGCATAATATGACCTAGTGGAGCTGTGATAGGCTCGAGGTTCCAGTTTTTTACTTTGGATCGTCAGATTCATTTCGTCTAATACAATGTGACATCACCAAATAAAGAGGTATAATGTGAGGATACTGTTAATCAATATTATGCATCAGTTTGATAAAATGCTGCTATCACAAAAATGTGCAAGAGTATCTAAGTTATGTCATACATAGAATCTTACATTCTTTTCAATTTCTTACGAGATTTATGAAACAAGATTTTTCATTTTACATTGCCAGTGGCTCAGTACAATAACAGATTTTCAGACTCATTTCATAAATCTTATGTGGAAAGAAAACTCATCAGATCAGCTATATAACTATAGAACCAATGACATTTATATCTTGTACGGACTTCCCTATAGTAACCTTCCACCAGCCTGCGAGAGCCTGCAGGTTAACATACAGATATATACCAGCATTTTCCAGACGATATAATTTACAACTGATGCCATCGGGTTTTTTAATCTTCGTCATTTCATTTGATAGTTATTATTCCTTTACGTAATATTAATAACCTGCCGTCATCTAAGGACGTGCCAGGTTCAGGTGGTGGCAGAAAGCCAGAGAAAAACTAACCTTCAACCAGTACCTGGCAGCTGCCTAATGTAGGTGTCGAACCCACAACCCTGAGGTGGAGGACTAGTGATAAAGACAGTCAGATACCTTAACCACACCACCACTGCCAACCCCCCACCCCCCTACCTCCCCTTTCCAACCCTCCCCACTCCTTCTCATGTGATACAAAAACAGAATCTTATAAACAATAGCATATAACCAGCTTTTCCTGAAGAATATAAATGCACATTGATATGGAATTATCAATTGAATGCACTCATTGCTTGTTTAATTATCTTAATATAATTTTACTTAAACTTTATAAAACAATATGCTATATATGGCAATTGGGATCAGGGCCATACCCATTATTTTACCCGTCCCAGTGAATAAACCAGACATATATTCTGTACTCACTCATCAAGGTTATTTGAGTCTCTGACACATCACTTACTATAAAGAGAATAATGCTCTCCAGCCCACCCTTGAAGTGTCAGTTGACAGCCATTCAAAATCACTTGACAATTAATGAGCTTTTCTAGTTTCATAGGGAAAGTTGCAATAACATTTAATACACTGTGTGTATTACTTAAGTGTTCACTCAAAATTATTCCAATTATTTCCTTCAAACTTCGGTAAGATGTTGCCTTCACTGCTTGTCTAATAATATTCAGTAAGATTTTCTTTTAGTAAAAAGGAAAACCTAGGTCATACCATTGACCTTCATTCCTTAATCATCCTCATTCTTGCCATCAATAATTAATTTTTCCCCATTAAGTGCCGTAGCTCATTATCAATTATCAAGCATCTCTACATGTAGTTCCCAAACAACTACCAAGTCTGACTAATCCTGAACAAAGAAAGTCTTCTTATAATCCAACATGGCCATCATCAATTCTTCATGACTATTAGCAAGGTGACCTGTACTTTCAGTTTCAACACTGATTACAAGATGATTGTTCCTCTTTAAAGAGGTACACGTACTCCTTTGATGTTTGACCCCAAGTAGGACATAATTCAAAATCAAATCAATAATTCATTCCAACATAAGATCTTGAGCTTTTGTGACATTTTGAAGAATTTGCAGTCGTGGACTACATTTTTTGACTGCACGTTTGATGGCATGATGCGGTTAATAGTTTCAACAATGTTTTCTCATCGCTGTCAGGTACGAATCTCAAGTATAACTATGGAAGTCTTGGATAGATTGCAACTAACTTGTACATCAATTATAACCACTGATCACAGATCTCAAATTTGTGAATTCCAGGACTACTTTTCATGATTTTAAGGACCCGAAGGAAAACAAATATTTCAGCCCTCTTAATTTCTTGATCTTGAAAATCTGGCGATTAGGGAGAAAACTGCAAAAATTAAAACAAACTGTGATGAGCCCTCCTTTTTACCATGAAAAATACTTTCAAACATTTTTCCATCCAACCATAAAGACTAAAAAATTGAAATACTAGATGGTGGTAAAAAAATGAATCTATATCTTTTTTTTTATTTTCGGTTGCTAAAATAATTTTTTTTTTTGTAATTTTTTATTTTTAAGCATTTTTTACAAGTATAGTTAACATCACATAAGCATACACACACTCCACACACAGAAACTTGCATACCCGTATAGGATTGTAACTATTTGTGAATCAATAACTTAAGTATATTTAGATAATATCCTAGTTTACACAACATTCTTATCATAGTTACCATCAAAAAATTGCAAAATTCATCCATAGATATATAATTAAGAAAATATGGTTTACAAAAACCAATTACCATTTCTATATACACAACAAAACACATGCCTTTGTCATCTTTATTACACACACACACTTTCCTTCCACATAGAGAGACAGAGAGACAGAGAAAAAGAAAGAGAAGAAAAGAGAGGGTGATATTGGGCTAAACATTCATATCACATCTATGTATCTCACTCAACAACAATTTCTAATCTTTTTCACTTACATTTTGAAATCCTCACACACTAAAATAATATCTATACTATACTATACTATCTATTTGAAAATTTATTAAGAAAAAAAAATAAATCATAAATTGATCAGGAAATAAGTGAAGAATTATACATGAAAATTAATTATTTCCAGCTACATATTCTGATACCTGTGTTGATAAAAAAAGAAACAAAGGAAAAACATTGATTTTTTGCTTTTAAATGATACCAGAGTTTTTTCACCTCTCAGAGGAGTACATCAATCATTAAGTGACCAAGTCATGTTAATTCTAAAATGTTACCACTAATCTGATTGTAGCCAGCAAATTTTCTCAATCAAATAACCTTAATCTCATAGTCCCTCTGTAAAGGTCAAGTCTAAAAAAATCCACCATCACCAATCTGATAGACATTTTATACTGACATAGTTGTGTCACTTATCTGATAGTCGTTTTATACCGACCAAGTTGTGTCACTTATCTGATAGTTGTTTCATACTGACCAAGTTGTGTCACCTATCTGATAGTTGTTTCATACTGACCAAGTTGTGTCACCTATCTGATAGTCGTTTCATACTGACCAAGTTGTGTCACCAATCTGATTGTCCATCTATACTGACCAAGTTGTCTTCTTAATCCACTACTACCTGTCTGATTGTCCCTCTATAGTGACAAAGTGTCATTAATCTACCAGAACTAATCTGATTGTCCCTCTATCGCGACTAAGTCATGTTAATCCACCTTCTCCTGCTTTATAGTCAGATTTTGCCTCTATACTGACCAAGTTGTCTTAATCCACCAGAACTATTCTGATTGTCTCTCTATAGTGACAATGTCATGCTAATTATGATTGTCTCTCTATAGTGACAAGGTCGTGTTAATCCACCATCACTATTTTGATTGTCTCTCTATAGTGACAATGTCATGCTAATTATGATTGTCTCTCTATAGTGACAAGGTCGTGTTAATCCACCACTACTATTCTGATTGTCTCTCTATAGTGACAAGGTCGTGTTAATCCATCACTACTATTCTGATTGTCTCTCTATAGTGACAAGGTCATGCTAATCCACCATCACTAATTTGATTGTCTCTCTATAGTGACAAGGTCATGCTAATTTTGATTGTCTCTCTATAGTGACAAGGTCGTGTTAATCCACCACTACTATTCTTATTGTCTCTCTATAGTGACAAGGTCGTGTTAATCCATCACTACCATTCTGATTGTCTCTCTATAGTGACAAGGTCATGCTAATCCACCATCACTAATTTGATTGTCTCTCTATAGTGACAAGGTCATGCTAATTTTGATTGTCTCTCTATAGTGACAAGGTCGTGTTAATCCACCACTACTATTCTGATTGTCTCTCTATAGTGACAAGGTCATGCTAATTCTGATTGTCTCTCTATAGTGACAAGGTCATGTTAATCCACCATCACTAATTTGATTGTTTCTCTATTGTGTCTAAGTCGTGCTAGTCCACCATCATTATTCTGATTGTCTCTCTATAGTGACAAGGTCATGTTAATCCACCACTACTATTCTGATTGTCTCTCTATAGTGACAAGGTCGTGTTTATCCACCATCACTAATCTGATTGTCTCTCTATAGTGACAAGGTCGTGTTAATCCACCACTACTATTCTGATTGTCTCTCTATAGTGACAAGGTCATGCTAATCCACCACTACTATTCTGATTGTCTCTCTATAGTGACAAGGTCGTGTTTATCCACCATCACTAATCTGATTGTCTCTCTATAGTGACAAGGTCGTGTTAATCCACCACTACTATTCTGATTGTCTCTCTATAGTGACAAGGTCATGCTAATCCACCACTACTATTCTGATTGTCTCTCTATAGTGACAAGGTCATGCTAATCCACCACTACTATTCTGATTGTCTCTCTATAGTGACAAGGTCATGTTTTTTTTATTTGCACTGGAAATTATATTAATGTCCCACTAGTCAGCTTCACTAATATAGTTATACAGACAAAAATTTTATTTGTCTTACTATCAACCTCTCCTAAGACCTTGATAATATCACTATCACTTACATGTACATTAAACCTGATTAAGGTGACTGCAGCAGGAGTTGTAGTTGTCTATGCTTTCTTCATACAACAACACTAAGACTTTTTTTTCATATGTAAATACATGTATGAATGTTTAAAATGAAATAACTGACATATATATTGTAATGGGCACATAACAACTCCGAGCAAATGACACCTGACATTTTCATTAATTACTTAAATTTGAATAATACATGCAAATTCTGACAACATGAAAGAGTTTGCGATCATTAATATGAAGTTAGGAATCAAATTAATTTCCTGTCACTGATTAATGGCGACGGTATTCGTAGTTGTATGTTGTACATACAATTATAATCACTGACATAAAACGACATCCATATTGTATTTTTGCCTTTTCAACCTCTGAACAATCTTTTAAGAAATTTTGAATATAAATATTTTCGATGCAATATATTTCCAACTGTATTCCTTGACATTACATTACCATATATATTTACACACACATGTATCATGTAACAAACAAATCTGACCAACATCCTCAGGATCATTTCCATATGGAGGGACCGATACATCTTTTCGTCACAATATCAAATGATGTAGTAAGTTGTAGAACATTTTGTCAGCTTAATCCATTGTGAATGAATTTTCGATGATATGATTTCAATGCTTTGGAAATATTTTAATTCTTTTTCAATAAAATCAATTTGCCAAAATCAAAACATAAGACAAATGATAAAACAGACAACGGAAGGCAATTTATCAAGATTGTTAGAGATACATTTAATACAAGCTTGCAAATGAATTACACACAGATAGTCTTTTATTGTATTGATGTGTTTGAAAAACATAAAATAGCAATTATCACACTAGTTTGGCTTGGGAGCCTTCAAAGATTGCCTACACAGATGTAGGGTCTGATGTTACATACAGTTTACTTAGCAATATCCCCATCGGTGTCTGTACTATTAAATATTAGCAAAGGCCCTTGCATGCTGACAAAATTCTTATAATCCCATAGTATTTCTTTTAATTCACATGAAGCCATTCTCATCGTAAACAAGCAAGACCGTCGTTCTAGAATGTGACCCGATGACCTATTGTTCCCAGGATGAAACAGGCTATTGTAAACTTCTACTTTGGCTTCCAAAGCAACCACAAAAAAGTTGTGATTTCAACATCAACCAGCTTCGATAAATTAAGTAGTAAGTATAACTAATCATTCTGTCGACCGATTTCCCCAGTTACAGTTCGTCAGGGCAAAAACTGTCGGCAAAGTAATAAATTAAACTTAATACTTAATTTGTTGAAGCTGGTTGATGTTGAGATCATTCCTACCTATAATGTCTTAATAATTCTATTGAGTGACTCCCTGCATACCTGTTGGTATCCATCCTCCAGCGATTGAATTACCTACGAACCCTACCTACCTACCAGACTGGTGTTGGTTCTTTCCCCCCTTTCATAATTGTGATTTGTATTAAAAAGTGTGCTTAATTAAATCCACAAGAATGTTATTTTTATTTCAATCTTAAAACTATCCTTTATACGGTTGCAAATGACAGTTCCAGACGATCTGTTTTATTAAAAAACATGTGATGGACAGGTACTCGTAAAACACTTGGTACCAATGTCTTGTACTGGTGTACTGGTATCCTTGGTTTAAATCAACATTTTTTATTCTTTCTGGGAGCGTGAAATCTTACATCAACCAAAATTATCAGGGTGCAAAGTCACGCAGGTCAATAGTGCATGTGATATGCCTCAAGAAAATGGCCGTTCCGAAACACATAATTGTGTGGAATCTATGTCCAAACGATAAATCTTCCTTTTTTTCATTCTTACAATTTTTTTTCGTCCACATATAAGCCATATTGGTATATAAACTACAAACCCCACGGCCGAGGGGAAAAAAAACCTGAAAATACTGTCAGCTTCATTGGGGTCTCTCTGTTATGTCAGATCCTAAGTTTCAAACCACTAGAAGAGAACTTTAAGTATAAACTTGTAGCAAGTCTACACTGTTAGCAAAAACTGAAATATTGAAAGTATACATAGGTATGTACTTAATTGTAACTTAACACATTGGTGTTCCATTTACATGTTCATACTGGTACCCTTATAAAGGAGAATACAAATTACATGTACTAGTATACAACTAACCTTGCTTCGTGAACAGTGAAAGCCAGAACAGAGGGAGTGTACACACAATTCCGATAAGAATGAGGACATTTTTTGGTTTTGCTCGCATCAGGCCGGTCGGTGAGATGAAACGACAGATGAATGAGGCAGGAAGTGGAATTTGAGACACTCACATCATACATTGGTACTGACCATTGGTACACCCTGTAAGTAAATTCAAAAATGTTTTCATTAAATATGCAACAAACAATGTACATAATACAACATTTCTACAGTGACAAGCTAAATGGATCTACATTATCTGATATTCAATTTTCACAAATACATTTACATCTAGATCTCACCTCAGTGGTCTCAAAAAAGGACATGCAAAATCTCATTTTTCATTACAAAGACATGCATTAATTTTTATAACTTCAGGTGAATGCATTTATTTTCTTCTGTTTGTTGAATATCTAAAACATACACACAAAACTGATTTACTCAAATTGAGTTTTTATCAGATTTTTATAATCATGTATTCACAGAATTCTGAACAAAGTTGTACTTCTTTGGTTTTTGGTCCTTCTTGTACATCACATATATAAGTAATAATAATAATTAGCTGTATATAATCCTTAATTACACCACCAGGCAGAGCAGTCCCCATTTTCACATTAATCACTACCTATATATGATTCCATTACCATATGTACACGTAATTCAGTCAGCCTTTATCATAAAATCTATGAATGCCTGGAAACTTACATAATAGATCTGGACTGTTGTGTTTATACTCATACCCAAAGACAATATCAGCTGATCTAGACATCTGTTCTGACGTTCAATGTACACCACAACAGTACTATATATGGCTATATATACCGGTAAGCTTCACTCTGCTACAGCCTTATCTAGGCTAAACACATTATACACAAGTTTATAGAACGGAGACCTCTGACTGAGAAAGGCTGAAGATTTTAAGAAAGGACTAGCTGAACAGATTGTATTTCGAAATTATAAACTGTAACTTTTATCTCACGATTGTCTCAATAATGCTAATTTGGCTTCACTGAAAGATAACAGCCAAATCTCTGACAAATGATTTTTTTTTAATTTTAGACATTTTACAAGATATAAAGTGCCACAATGTTAAGGTCTAATGATCTGTGATACATGTATAATTAACACAGCTTCTGAAACTAGGTCACACTAAGTCTTGCTACCAGTATATGACCTAAATAATTAATAGACACAATCTGCTAGCTGACTTTAGATACTTGAGAAAATTAGGTCTGACTGCTACATAGAATACACATCCGTGGAAAACAAATCCACATGTCATTGCAGGCTCGTGTTTATCATGTAGTTTAGCTTATATCAATAGATCTTTGTATAAAACATTGCTTGGTAATGTTTTGATTTTGCATTTTCTCTTAGTATGTACATTGTTAGGCACATTTAATATCTATAGACATTATAAGTATAACTAGGTTAAAGAGAACATGTTTTAGAACAAAGAGTCCCCGATGTTAACTGGCTACAAGTTTAGGCGTGGTAAGAAATTCACTTATCATTTTGTTGTGCAGTAATAAGTCAACTCCATGCTTATCATGCAGGTCATAAGTACTACTATAACACAGATGGAAAGAATCTCCCATCCTGTGTGGTTTTAAGTAAGTGTTAAGGGCTGATTATACAATCAAGCTCTATATTATATCTTCACTAGATCTAGAGCTGTCACACATATGCTTACATACTGTTGTTGACATCATCGCTACTCAAGCTTGAACAAAGAACAAGAGGCTATAGGCTTATCTTGTCATCATTTGTCAAATCCAACTCTCCTCAGGCAAAGAATTCTACTTTGTGTCATTGTAAGTAACATTAAAATTAACCAGACCAGAGGCTTCTGACATTCATAATGGCTGAATGATTGAACTGGAAATGTTTATCTTAATAATAAACCTAAAACAAAAACAAACAACAACAACAACAACAACAACAACAACCAGAAAATATCAACATGTCAACATAATCATAATCCAAACTTAAATGCTCTGAAGCTAGGCCAAAATATGAAAAAAGGTTGAGTTAACGGAGATTCCAGAAAAAGGACAAGGATAATAAGACCAGGTGTTCCTTATTTCTGTTATGTGTTTAATGCTTTAGGTTTTCCTAATAAAACTTATAGAACACACTGTCAATATTCCATTATTTCTTACCGCTTGATGCATATAGATGACTCTGTCACTGAATTAGTCATACCAGCAGGTATACAAGAATTGCATGGAGTATAAATTATGCACCATTTTATTATCTATTATTCAATTATTATAAAACCTATACCACTCCATATTCTTCGACCAAATTAGATATACTGTTTATATACATATCGTGTGACAATATTTGTTTAAACGAATGTATGCATACTAAGAATTATTTGAAAAAGACTAATGAAAAATGAGTTGGGTTTTTTTTGGCATTTACTTGACTTCATGTCTTAAAATGATTAAAATTGTATATCTTTTGTATTGCTTTAATAAGATTAAAATCCAGAATAAAGATATCATTGAATTGGCCTCCTTTATTTGAGAGATACTTCTGCAGGAAAAAAAGATTAGGTGACACATTTAGTTACTAAGTGTAGAAAAGGTGAAACCCACGTGTCTAAACTTGGACAAATATGACAAACCTTAAATTATTCACATGTACTGTGTAGAGTCTCTTCCCATGCACTTTAGATTAAATATAATGAGGATATATACTTACAGTATCTAATTGACCCTTGTGAGCAATTTGCATTAAAATTGGGCTGTCTGTTGTCCATTGTTACTTTTTAGAAATCAATTACTCTGAATATTTTTTTTTTCTTTTCTACAAACATTTCCTGTGACTATCAATGTAACACTATTACAAAATAGACTGATCAATATGACTGAGTAATTAATGCTAAGTATAGCAAATAATGCATCACATGCATGTATGTGTTTTATTATGCATTCACATGTTGGGCTGATGTGCTGTACATCTAAGACCTACTGAGATAAAATTGATTACATAGATATGTTTTGCATGATTTAACACTTCCTTTTGTACCCACCCTATTAATTTTTTTAACAGATGAATTATCCATGTGTATGAAATGGGTTCTTTTTTAAGATGCATCTAAAAACCCCAAATATGCATACAGTATATACAGGCATATATATATATATATATATATATATATATATATATGAATATACATGTATATACTACCAACATTATATCTGCATGTATGTTTAGTCAATTATTTATCAAAGTTATGTTATTAATTGAATCATAATATTATAGAAAAATCATGCTCCTTGTGAGTCCTTGATTGGACAATAAAAATTGTATACCATGTATTGATGTATATAAGGTAATGTATCTGTTGGTTATTGTTCAGGGCAGAGACGTATATATCACATATATACGTCTCTGTTCAGGGTAATCGTTTGACATTCATGGGGAAGGACAGGAACAGAGAAAGTCTTACCAAAAAGTTTTGATAAATCACACGTTTATCAGCAGGCATTACAAATGTTGTCGAATTAATACACTCTCTGTATATGCTACAATAACAATGTGCATATGACGTTTACTCGCAAGAAAGTGATGCAAAAGGTCTTTCTTCATACAATAGGTCTCGAAGACTTCAGCTATTTAGTAGATAACAGCCTCAGCAGCAACTTTCAGTGCAACCAGATGAGAAATATAAACTATTGAATTACCGTAATCCGAGATGAAAACTACGAAAATATTCCATGAACAAGCATCTGCTCAAACTTACCCCCATGTAAGTCCTAATTTACAGCAGATAGATCCACTCTGAACGATCGCACTGTGACACTATCAGAAACATAATCGGCAGGAAGCACAGGTGTTCATCTTGGTCAACTAAACGTTAACAGGTTCCGTTGAAACAAAGCGTCTTCAAGACGCTGTACTGGACAAAGTTGTAAACTTCCGTCTGCTCTTTTGTCGAAGTGGAAAGTCTGTCTAGTCAGCTGATTGATTGCAACATGTCTAAAAAGGAGGATGACATGGATGATTCCATGTACCAAGTTTTAACAACAGTTTTCAAGCACCAAGAATTTAAATCCAAACTCCAAAAGCAAGCTACTCGATGTGTTTTACACGGTAAATAATCCTAGTCTAGCTGCTTACACGCACTCACAGGCCGTCGGAGAAATAAGCCTAGTAACATGTGTTAGGCTAACACACATGGCATGGGGACGGTAACAGATGGTCCCACGACTAGCTCTTCTGTTTCGAAGTTAGCGTTTAATTTTTCATACCTATCCAAAATATTACTAACCTGTTTACTAATGTGTCATGGGTTGTTTTCCTAAAAGCAAATGCGTCAGAATTTCATGGCACCCTTGGAGCTTTCAAACCCATTACAAGAGTGTTCCCAACCTTTTTATTGTTCATATTGTGTATCCAGTTTTCTATCATCCAAATACTTCATGTACATGACCATGTAACATGAACTAGCAACTCTAACTGGACACTCTACTGCTCGACTAAAGGGAAATTCTCACTAGCTGTGGCTAGTAAGGCGACCTGTATTCTCAACTTTAACACCACCTCCTCCTTCACAAAACTTTAATGTAGAAGCTTAAGACAACAACAGCCCTGGTTCAGTATCTCAAAGGAAGCATCTTTAAATTTATCTCCTATTGCTTTTACCATTGTGTGGTAAACAGCAATAATTCTGTAATAGGAAGGGGTTCGAACTAGCGAAATTCCCACTAGCCGTGGCTAGTTAGACAATCACACACACACACACACACACACACACACACACACACACACACACACACACACACACACACACACACACACACACACACACACACACACACACACACACACACAAACACACACACACCATCAAACAAACATACACAAATATGAGTTTTAGAAAAAAAAAACATGTACTTTTACAGGTAGCCCATTTATCTGCCATAAACACTATATCATGTAGTACATATGAGATAATTCTTTAAAGATTATTTAGGATATTAATGAAATATACCATGTATCATTATATTAGAATATAAGTAAAAATTATGCATACAGATGATACATGTATAAGAAGCTGACATATTAGATATCATAAAGTCGCTAAGGCCACAGATACATTAAGACATACTCTCAAGGGTCAACTGCCTTTAGTTAGAATATTAGTAGAGATGTAGCAATATGTTTGTGGTACGTTTATATTAGGGAGTTTACCCTAATGTTGGTCACCCAACTGCTTGATCTCTTTACAAAATTTCAAGAAATTATTGAGCAAGATTACTTCTCCACTGGAGTTCTGTTTCTGGTTTAAGGACCATAAGATTATCATTGAGTAAGCACATATGTGAAGGAAGGCAACTCTGTTTAATTTAACATGCCATTTCTCACCTGTGGTACCCAAGAGCTGCATTCTTTTAAATACTTTTCTAATTTTCTCCTATATGTCATATGTGTTTGATAATGCAGTCTGATATAAAAAAAAAATTAGGAGTTCAATACAAAACATGTTTATCTTCATTACTCTAAGACATTTTCATGCATCAGTTTCTATCTGTTTTTGATAGACTTCATCTTTACTTATATGATTATGGGAGTGTTTGTTTGGAGGTTTTCATCATACACCAGGCCCATCATAGGCCATGTAGAGCAATTAGGTAAAAGTGTCTTGCCCAAGGACACAACCAAGTCAGCACAGACAAGTCCATTTCTCAGCTCCTTGAGAAACACAAATTACCACGGGTAGGTTACAAGTGTTGAACCATGCACGTCAGATCTTCACATGAAGTTATATTGAAATGACTGCTGTTGGTAGTTGCTAGTTTTTGTATGAAGGATGAGGAAGGACAAACCTCCTTATAAGATTTTGATATCTGTAATTTATCTTGACAACAATAGTTTACATATGAGGTTCAAGAAAGCTTTTGTAACAGTTACATGTGCAGTTCTGTCACAATTCATCCCTGAAACATTTCATTAAAAATACAGATGAATTGCAAATGAATATGTCATCTTTAGACATTAATTGTTCATAAACTTTACATAATGCTTTTTGAATTTATGGATATTTCAATTAAACATTACTGAAGCAAGTGGCATTAAAATTTATTTGCAGGCAATGAGGTATACATATTCTTAAAATTGAAAATGTAGTTCAAACTGGTTTTATTTGGCTGCAGTCTTTGAACTTCAATCATTTCTATGTGTCACTTAATGTTAAATACTGTTCGAAGTGTATATTTTGTTGATAGGGATAATTTTGTAGTGAGATTCACTTTAACAGTGTCTTATGTTTTTATCAAAGTCAATGTAGACAAAATTGTTATCCAGTTATAAAGATTTTTAAAAACATTTTCCTTCATTTCAGGAAATCATGATGTGTTTATTTCCATGCCTACTGGAGCAGGAAAATCCTTATGTTATCAGTTGCCAGCAAGATTTGGAAAAGTTGGTGTTACATTGGTTGTCTCCCCCTTGATAGCTCTGATGCAGGATCAGTTGGATCATCTAGATCACCTGAAAATTCCATCAGAAACACTGAACTCCAAACAATCTGCAAAGGAAAAGAAACGTGTTCTTGGAGACCTTAATAGTTCAAAGCCCCGTACCAGACTTCTGTATATCACCCCAGAACAGGCTGCTACTGATGGCTTCAGGACAATAGTCCAGAGCCTCATCAAGAAAAAACTCCTCAGATACCTGGTAGTAGATGAAGCCCATTGTGTATCACAATGGGGGCATGATTTTCGGCCAGATTACCTTAAATTGGGTCAGCTACGGAGAAAAATGCCCGGTATCCCATGTATAGCTCTTACAGCTACAGCCACTAGCGAAGTGGTCACAGACATTGAGAAACAACTCCAGTTGAAAGCCCCTGTAAAAAAATTCAAGTCGAGTTGCTTCCGTCCAAATTTATTTTATGATGTTGCAATGAAAGAAGTGATTGGAAATCCATATGAAGACTTAAATAAATTTGCAAGGACTGCATTGAACTGTTTAAATGCAGAAGATGAGATAGAAAATTGGGTAAGATAACGGTACATGTAAACTAGTAATTGTCTATTATAGCGGAATATCCTGTCTGTCAATAACTGCTTTGTTTGTGTATTTTGTTGTACAAATATGTTGAAATTGAAATTTTAAAGACATTCCATTTATTTAGACAAATATGAATATTTCAATTTTAGATAAGGTTTCATCCACAGAAGTACTTGAAATAAGTCATTAAGATTTTCAATGTAAATTTTTATCGAAATTCTCTTTGTCAGAGAGAGTTTGGGTGTGGCATTGTGTACTGTAGAACAAGGAATGGCTGTGATGAGGTTGCATCCCATCTCAGTAGACTCGGATTGCCATCCAAACCTTACCATGCTGGTTTGAAAAATGATGTGAGAGAAGAGATTCAGAACTCTTGGATGGAAGGAAAATTCCCTATAATCGCAGCCACTATTAGTTTTGGCATGGGTGTGGACAAGGCAAATGTTAGGTATGTATGTACAAATATTTTTTTCTTGTTACACCAAACTTCAGAAGATTTCATTAAACGCAAAGAATGTATGAATTTATACACATGAAAAGCCAAGAAATATTTCAAGGTTTAAATTTCCATTAGATTTAAGAATTGACAAAATAATCACAATTGCTGTAAAGGCACAATGTATTGTCTGTATTATCAATGACATAAAGTATGAAATGAGATAGAATGACTAACATACAATGTAAACTTGATTATATGCAGAACATTTGATAAATCATTGTGTCCGACACCACAGAAGAAGATACTTTTTCATGATTTCTGTTCAGATTATATCATAAGAACTTATCTGAATACTGAATAGACTTTATGTAATGTCACTGAATCATATTATTATTATATTATTATTATTATTATTATTATCAACTGGTACAGGTTTGTTGCTCACTGGACCCTGCCAAAATCCATGGCTGGATACTACCAGGAGTCCGGGCGAGCTGGGCGAGATGGAAAGAAGTCTTATTGTCGACTGTATTATGCTAGGCATGAGAGGGACACAGTGGCTTTCCTTATACAGAAAGAGACTTCTAGGTTTACAGTAAGTGCATATTTTCGAATGCCCAATATATCTAAAGCATAGGGATTTGACACAAATTCTCGACAATATTCCATATAAGGTCGGGTGGGTCGGGAATTCGTGCCAACTCCATGATGTCTAAAGTGATATGTTCTATCTAAATTTGTGTATATGTCATTTATCTAATGATACTAATTGTATGTAATGTTTGCTCTGTGTTGGTCCATGAACGGAATAGAATTAGTTGTTTTGTACATGTAGATTTCTCCCAGAACATGCTTTTGTTGCTGGTTAAAGGGGGATAACTCCATGAGGTCTTGAAATGATAAATAATTGTACATAGACTAACATTACGCAACATGTGGGCCCATGACCAGACCAATAAAAATCTTGTGCCTTGTAAAACTGCAATTTACTATCATGATATATGTAGCTACATCAGAATTTTACTATGAACATGGTTTTAGGGAAATGGAATCGATTCAAAAGGTGACTAACATTTGAAACAATGGCAGCGTGTACTCCTTATTTTTTTCTTATCACTTACTTGGTGCATTTTTTCTGCTATTGGCAGGTAACACAAATCAATGGTATTCATTCTGGCCCCAGTATTTTTAATAAGTTTTTCTCTTGTTCAGAGGGAAGATAAAGGAGTTACTGCTGAAAAGCAGAAAGCAGCCCAGAAGAGTTTTGAAGCATTGGTCAAGTACTGTGAAGAGCAAGAGTAAGATACTACTTCACATAGATACTTAAAATTGTGGCAGACCTATTGGAAAGGAGAATGAGTGTCTGACAAGGCAGTGGACTTGCTGTCTGTTGTCAGACCTCACATACGCCATTAATCTAGTCCTTGTAAACTTTGGAGATTTAACAAATTTTATTTTAAAGCAAGCATGTTTAGGAAGATCATTTAACTGTCACTAAAATAACCTAAAATATTATTCAACTATGTCTCTTTTGAAATTCGGAAATTAAAATTTGTGATTTATACAGCTGTATTGTTTGTAATAATATTAGTGTGCATTCTGAATAATATGGATAAACTATATATTGAAAACCTATCCTCATCTTGATTTGAAACAATCACTTTTTATACAGCCATCAAAATTTTGTTGTGATGTATTATGGTATTGCATTGCATAAGCTTTATTTAATTTATTCAGTATAATACTTACTTCTCCTTGGAGATGGACTTAGATTTGTTCTGTCCAGTGGTACCCTTGTGACAGTTGTTGTTTATACTGAAAAGGCTTTTCGACCATTTCCATCTCATGATTACTGATTATGTTGTATAGTTGCAGACATTGGGTTATAGCTCGTTACTTTGGAGATGTAAAGCCAGACTGTGAGGGGGCATGTGATGTTTGTAAGGAGCCAAAGAAGGTGGCCAAGGCTGTCCATGATCTCCAGACAGGTTCCTACGCCAACTTCAACAACAAGAAGGGAAGTGGAGGAATCTATTTTTATGAAGAGGATGATGAGGATGATCCTGGCATGTATGGTGGAGGAAGAAGAGGAGCAAAGAGGTATGAACATCAAACATTATATAATGGAAAACTACTATTCATTCTTTGCTTCTTGCCACATTTTTATGACACTTCTTCAATGTAGAAGTCAAGAGAACTTTCAAAATTAACTCTGATGTATAGCAAAAAACTATGTTAAATGATTATAAATTATCTTAAGATCAGGGTTAAAGGTCAATCAAAGCTTGTGTACAAGATTTTTCATGATCTTATCAGAGTTTGTGTTCTGCAGTTACTGACTACATGTTTTTTACAGTGAGTATGATGCCTACAGTAGATCATTTGAAAATGGTGCTGACGATGATGATGATGCAGCTTACAGAAGAGAAAAAAAGGAACAAATAGAGAAGAAACAAAGACATAATTTCATTATGAGAGAATTCAAAAAGAGGAAAGGGGTAAATTTGACATTTGTTGCCTGATATTTTTAATACCTGGTATTAATGTTTTTAAAAGGTAATAACCGATCATTTATAAGAAAATTAAGTCAGATTTATTTTTAAATTATTCATATGAATTCTATGCATTTCCCCATAACCAGTCCAAAGTGTTTGAGAAAGGTTTTGTAACCCTTGTAGTTAAAGCATTGATAAGACGGTAAAACATTTCATCACCACCAAGGTGAAACTTGTTGCTCAAAATTATCCTGATAAGAAAATTTATTTACTCTAACGTCGTTTACATTTTAAGACTATATACTGTATGTTCACCAATCTAAAGTGTTTGTGTCAAGATATTTAAACAATTTTAAATTTAATTTTCATTTGAAATATGAAGTTTTTCATCTTTCAAAAATTTAAAGAAAAGTAAATCCTTTTACTTCAAAGTTTTTATATTACAATACAGAATATTTGTTTACCATAATTTGCTCTGTTCACCATTGAACAACATTTTGAATGCAGCATCCATGATTAGTCACATTTATATTTAACTGTTAGACAGTATCGTTGTATTTTCAAGAGAGAGCCATTTTACATAATCATAGTACAGAAGACATATGAAATATGCCAAGTCTGATGAAAATTGGAGCAAATTTATGTTGAATGTTACCCTGAGAAATTGATAGAAATACAGATGTACTAACTGTGTCTAAGTATCTAAGAAAAGGTAATTGATAAGAATCAAGTATGGCAATCTCTCTTTCACTTAAAGGGTGTTGATGACTCCTCCACCTCTACCACAGAAGAGCCTCTTGAGGAACCGGATCCAGATTGCCCTCTCAGAGACGCTGCCAATCACAAAATACCCAAACTCACCATCAAGGTTATAAATTACAATATCTCAGGCTTAGATCACACTTCTATACACAGCAAACTGGTTTTCATTTTTTAAATGATTCAAATGAAACTATCCCCATGATTAAGAAAGACCAGATCCAGATTGCCCTGTTTGAGACACTTTCAGTCATAAAATACCCAAACTCACCATCGAGGTCATAAAATCATAATATCACAGCCATATTTGACAGTTCTATACATAGCAAACTGAATTTTTTTCAATAGTTCAAATGAATCTGTTACCCTGAATGGTATGAAAGACATTTTTCATTATTCTAGTAATGAGTTTATATTAGCCCTTTAAACTGAGTTATGATTGTGACTTAAATCTAACTTGTATACTGTAGTGTAACTCTTATTGGCTGGATGTTCTCATTATTAATCTCCCATAAGTGAAAGGGTGGGGGAGAGAGAGAGGGGGGGGAAGGTCAAGGTCATTTATAAATTGTTACAGTGTAATAAATACATGTATTCCTTCAGCAATGCTTGGTATACTTGTTTAAATTGTGATGTCATAAATTCATGTCAAAGACCTCGATGAGAAGCTGCAAGGATATTGTTTGTTCGGAATTTTATTTACCGGTAATGATAAATACAGCTATGTTGTCATTTTTCAACAAATTATGGTTATTTAGTGTCAAATGAATTACCTTATATTCACATCCATTGCATATCATGTTACAAAAGCTGAATTCCACTTCATGTTTGTGGTATTAGTATACTATAGATAGGCTAGCTACAATGGAAATTTATTAAGACTTGTTTTATCATACAAAGTGGAAACTCAAACAAGATTTTCTTGTTATGGCTAAAAAGGAGGTTTTCTGCACAAGAATCGATAACCTTGTATGATTTTGAACTAGGCTGGTGTAGATATTTCGTTGCTATGTAAACTCGGTTCTACATGGATATGGAATGTAACTTTACATTTAAACTGATGTTACTTAATCTTTGTGTTGCATAAAGGGATGTTTCACTGTTCAAGGTAGATTTCAAATTTTGAACAGGAATATAGACAAATATTTTTATGTGAATATATAAGATATGTATACATAACAGTGATAAATTTATGTGTGTTGCAGGGCCGCGAGTACTGTATGGGTATGCTTGAGAAGGCACTGAGGGACAATTTTCGTCAATATTACCAAGATGTTCCCCATAAGCTTGTAGGAGAAGAATATGAACCAAGATGTACTGCCATTGACCTTGAATATGATCTGTTCAAGGTCAACAAGATGGCCAATATCTACAAGGCTGCAGTGATGAAAACAACAAATGAGATCAAGAAATGTACCACTTCTAAAGACTTACATTCCTCTCTGGTGGCAAATTGTTCAATGTCTGCATCAGGAGACATGAAAGAGTTACAAACAACTTCAACTTTATCATCCTCTCCTATTCCTGGTTTTAGCACTGCTTCTGACATGCTTGCCAATACACTAGTTGAAAAAGAAAAAAACAGTACCTGTCTATCTAAACCGGCTGTGTTCCTTTCAGCAGCTGATATGTTAAAGAAAGAAAATCAAATTAAGAGGACTGATCCCCCATTGCCAAGTCTACAGATGTTTGATTTAAATGGTTGTGATAGTGAGGAGAACTCAAAATCACCAGTTTGTGTGGAGACTGTCAAGGAGGCGAGTCGGCCAAGTCCTTCTTCTTCCCCAGGACTTTTCAGCACTATTGGAAATAGTGTGAAACCATGTGTTTCTCATATTCCTAAAGATCAAAAGCATTCTGGGTTTCAAAAAGCGAGCAAAGTACTTTCAAAAAAAGTAACTTTTGATTTTGATATCGGTGACTCTTCCAATTCTGGGAAATCCAAATCTAAGTCGAGGAAATCAAAGGCAAAAGAAAAATCTAGTAAAAATGTGCCCCAAATCACAAACTTTTTTGCAAAGAGATCTTCAGATGAAGAGGATAGTGTAGGGAAAATTGAGAGTGACATGACTGATGTCAAAGTAGAGATCACAGAACAAAATGTTGGTTCTGGCATAGTGGCAATGGACACTGAGGTAAAAGTGGAACCAATCACCAAGACTGACACTGCTTTGGAACTTTGTGAACAAGAGTGTGGTACGAAGTCCATGGATAGCAAACCAATTCTTCCAGATGTCAAAATCAAAAGTTCCCAGAAGAGAAAAATGGATGACAAGGTTACTCTTGTTCTGTGAATAGATTTTTACATGAATAACTTACATACACATAATTATGTATTTTATCACAATGCTGAGAAAGGGTCTGATTTTGAACCTGAAATTAGAGATACACCAGTATATATATTGGCAATTTCAATTTCAAACTTAGGAAAATTCAACATCATTATGATATATAAAGATTTCACATTTTCCCAATACAATTTTAAAATTTAGATTATGAACTACAATAACTTAATGCTAATTTGATGTATAATTAGCAAGCATTGTTACCATTTATTTCATATATAAAAGTAGATGTATATTATGATAGGGTTATATCTTTGTGATAAATTGGTATACTGAATGCATTATTTTGATGTACTAGGTTAGTGACGCAAGGCCCAAAAAAAGTAGGCTGGAACCTGAGTTGTGTGATGATTCAAGTTCTGAAAATTCCAGGCTGTCACAGTCTAGGGAAAGGAATTCTGAAAATAAGGTTTCTGACTTGTCTGAAGGTCCTTCGGTGTCCAGGGCAGGAGGCGCTGAAAGTCGGAAGGTTGCAGCAGATCTAGTAGTGAAATATTTGACTCCTCACTATAAGGCTGGCCGGATACCGACCAAGGTAGTATGCTGTATTTTGTGTATCATAATTCAATGTTTGACAGAATATTACATGGCATATTCAATAACATATGTTGATATGGTGAATTGATTGAAGTTGTAGAGTTTGCTCAGAGTAGTGATAGATATAATCAAAGTGGTAGTGTCGTGTTTTATAGAAACCACTTCTTCTCAGTAGCGAAATGTGATATATATTCCTTGAGGTTGTCAATTTTTGCACCAACTGGTATGAACTTTATTTGACACAAAAGTCAATGTACCTGAGTTCTTGTTCAATAACTCACATCAATTCCTAATGAAGAATGTACACTCCATCATGTAAACAAAAACAAAATAACAAATAAAAAAAATCTGATAAATACATGTCTATATTTAAAAAAAGTCCTTTAATGACATACATTTCTACACATTATATCATTTTGATTACCATTACATGAAATTAAAAATGGTCAAAATGATGTTCTGTAAACAACAAGCTTGTGTGCAAGATACTGTAAGAACACCTGAACAGATTAGTTCATGTTTAACAGAATGGTCTAATGACATCAAGCTTTTCTGTGAACTTCTAATGAGCCCCTTCTGTGGATCAGATTCATGTTGGGAACAAAGTATCTAGTCTAAATTATTCTGATGACTTTTGTATGGTGGTCAGGAGTCACTGGAAGTTGACAGAACATCAGAATAATTTGGACTACATAGTATCGTATTCCTACAGATATTTATCTACAACATATCCTGATATTTGGTTGGTTGGTGGGTTACAGGTATTACATCCACATGTCTCCATTTTTGTATCCTGTTCTCCAACAACATATTAGGCACCTGGTCAGTATTTGAATCGAACTGTTACAGAATGAAAATGTTTACTTAATATATACTTTTTATTTTTAATCATAGGATGCATTCAAAGTTGTTGCAAGAGCTTTGTCATACAAAGTAATGGATAAACCTGGTGGAACAGGAAAGCCGGCAGAAGGTATCTATAGAAAGTTACGATATCAGTATTTCATTGTGTAACTTACAACTGTTTCTTCTGTTGTCTATATCTTTTTCCTTACATGTGATGTAAATGAATTTCCATCTCTGTTATACCTAAAGTGGGTTTTTTTTACATTTTTTTTGTGTGTATTCTTATAATCAATTAAATATTTTGGAACCTAAGTTCAGCAATAAAGTTAAAAATATTTGTGGAACTGAAGTGTGATTTAAAGGGGAAACACACAAGATAGGTAACTCTTTGTTATTGCAGGGAAGTGTTAGTGATGTTAAATGTTAATTTCTCTGGTGACGATTGTATTTTATCTCTCATTTCAGTGAAAGAAATTGTGAAGAAAGTTATAGAGAATCTGTTTAAAAAGGTCAAACTGGTAAAGTCTGTGGAGGATCTCGTGGATGTGTGAGGGCTGTTTCCTAGTAATATCATAACCAATGAAGTAAAAAAACTAATATAGATTGAAGCTGGGGATATCTCGAAGATGTTGTTTTTCTTTAAAATAACTGTCACCAAGATTTTCTGTACACCTGATTTGAATATCCACTATGATGTTAAATGTTGAAGAAAAGGTTATAACTCAGAAATAAGTAATTGAAATCTTAAGCTTTTCAGATTAAAGGATCTTGTATTAGTGTCTTAGGCACATTAAATCAATTAAAGAAGCTCAGTATTAACACAAGTCCAAGTGTCAGTGACAGAGCAAATTACTGGGCAAGTTTAGTTAGTTGCACATCACATGGACAAGAGTGTAAGATTTTACAACTCAAGAAAAGAGAAATTTTCTGTTTGACTTTTAAACAAATCTTCACTGAATGGTTTGTTTTAACTACAGAGGCCAGTGTGTGATGTTATTTATCTGTGATTTGACAATAGTGTGATCACCTGTGTCAAGCAACGTTTAATTTGATGACAAGGATATGAAACAAGGTATGATATAATAATCCTATTTAAACCTGTACTTTGGTTTGGTGCTTTATTGAACGACTGATTATTTGCAGTTAATATTACAGTTAGGAAAAGCATGATGCATATTTTACAATGCTATATTTAGGATATTTCATTTCATTTTAAAATCTGAAAGGTTGTGAGGGTTAGATTGATATGGCAGACATGATGAACGATAACAGCTGTTTTATGTTACAAAGCTAACAATTAGTGGTTGTTTTGCTTTTGGCTAGTTCACAAGTTTTTAATTTCAAGCAAGTTAATGAACTGAAGTTCATGCATACAGGAATAACAGATATTTTCTGAGAATTTCATTCGTTGGGTATGAATTCAACAAAATTTTTGTGACCTTGAATATAAAGTTAAATTCAATCCCTGTGAATATTTCCCAACTATAGAGTACTTAAGCAAATTGTGATATTAGATTTTGTTAAACAGACAGGACTATGGAAAATGACAGTAATAGGTTAAGGTCAAAATCCTCATCTGCTCATTTACTTCAGTATTGACCAGTCTAGCAAAGAGTATACACACTGGTGTACTTACAAAAAACTCAGTATGCAACAGAGAGGTCATGCCTGTCAACTGTTGATTTAAGACCATAGTTTCTAAACATCAAGATTTACACTAAATCAGATTTTTCATCAATATTGGTGATGGTTAAATTATCAAAGGTCACACTTAACCTATTTTGGAAATAAAAGACAATGTGAGTCATGTATCCATGTGAGCCACTGCTAAGTTTATTATACTAACTTTCCATATGTTAAATGAACAGGACATCAGGCTAGCCCTAATTTAGTCCTCGACATTTTTGTGCTCAAAGTCTGGGTATGACAGACAAATTTTAAAAAAAAAAGCATTGAAAACGACACCTGTTAATCAGAAGTATTGTAACTGTTATGATATTGTATATTGTATAATGTTGATTTTACATATTTTAAAAGCATGCAGTTTTGTTTGCAATAAAGATTTCAAGTTTTATGATGACTTAACAACATTTCTGTTTTTTTCCCTGTAAATTCCACCTTTAACTGCTACAATGAAAGTTGTACTGTCTGACTTGTTGAACCTAATGTAATTAAGTATGGACATAAATAACGGCCAGGACCTAGATTGGAATAATTACCAACGTTTAAAAGAATCAAGTATTACTCCTATCTACCTGAATTTGTTTAATTATATTTGGAATCAGGAACTTATTCGGTTAATTTTTTTTAAAACTTTTTTTTTACTTACAAATACATGGAAAATTACCTATGAGCATCATTTATCACTAGGCTATTTATTTGTAAATATTTAAGATGAAATATCTTCACCCCAAAAGGTCGGACCAAAAGTATGTTTCATTACCAGTAAGGCAATTTAACTGATGAACCTACAGAAATGCAAATTCAGCCAGTTGTAGTAAATGTTGTTTTATGAGTGTATGCTTTCAAGAGAGGGTCCAGGAGCGAAGTTAACATCAAATTAAGAACTTAGCTCAAAAGAAATTGGAGTGTATGCTTAAGCATACTTGCATACATTATTGCTAGGTCACTGTCAGCAAATTATTTAAATTGTGTAAAAATATGGACCTAAGTTTATGTATATACTTGTTTATATTTTACACTATACAGGTGTTGTTTCCATACTGAATTAAATATTCTATTTAATAACTAATTTGATTTTTATCCACACTCCCCAGTGATAGTATTAATAATAAATATCATTAGTGATACTTGATAAGTAAAATTCAATAAATGAAAACAAATCACAACGTAGCTTTCAACATCAAATTATTACCAAGTTCACTCTTCACCGCCACAAAGTATTACCCAGAAATCCTTTACCGCCAAACACTATGACCAGTCCCTCTTCATGGACACAAAGTATTACCCAGAAATCCTATACCACCAAACACTATGACCAGTCACTCTTCATGGACACAAAGTATTACCCAGAAATCCTTTACCACCAAACATTATGACCAGTCACTCTTCATGGCCACAAAGTATTACCAAGTAATCTTTTACCACCAAACACTATGACCAGTCACTCTTCACCGCCACAAAGTATTACCCAGAAATCCTTTACCACCAAACACTATGACCAGTCACTCTTCACCGCCACAGAGTATTACCCAGAAATCCTTTACCACCAAACACTATGACCAGTCCCTCTTCATGGACACAAAGTATTACCCAGAAATCCTTTACCGCCAAACACTATGACCAGTCACTCTCCACCGCCACGAAGTATTACCCAAGATATCTTTTACCACAAAACGCTTACAAACTATGAGACGATTACCTATCCGAATTGACCACCTTTTAAATCCCAATATTTACATGTAGACATTAACGATGAAATTACAATTTTCACTGAAGTATTCAGTTTGTGATAATTTTATAAACTCAGCTCCGCCTACAAATTTCCTGAAAGTCAACACAAGATTATGCTAACTTTATCGAGAGCGTATATTTAGCTACAGATGGTGTCATTGTCATATTGACACTAAAATCTCGTAATCACTACTACCACTTCTAGTGATCAGTAACGTGGGCAGGTACCAGCTGCAGATGGGATACTAAAAGACATAACGAAATCTAACCTCGGATTGGCATCAGCGAGACTTCAAACTTCCGCTATTCACCCTTTGCCCTGCACGTTGTATCAGGAGCATACACTTAATGCCTACTTCATGCACTGACATGTACGTACAGTTAACATGTGCTGTGCAGTCTGCGTGCCACGGTGCTCACAGATAGGGGTTAGACGTGGAGATACATTTATATGGTCCAAAGTCCTAGATACTAAACAAGTATGCCAATAATCGAAAGCGGAACACGTGAAGTAAGGTTTTCTCTGAGGAATCGCTCCATAACTGACCGAGTGTGGGACATCTCCATTCACCTGTGATTTGTCTACCTATGATGAATATTAAGACAACTCGGCGAGAATATCAAGATCACCTTAACGCCACGATCGGCAAAACTGTTATGAATGTCGCCATGCCAATACTGCAATAGGTTTAGTAATAGTAGATGTATCACCAAAACCAACTTGATAAGAACCCACATATACCCTGCATAGTCATATTGATAACCTCTTGAACACACGTGATTCCTTCTATTGATCTACCTAGGATAAGGCTTACTTTGTCACCAAGAATGCTTTGGTAAAAACTGTGTAGGGTGTCATGGCTTTCGCACGTAATACGAACCTCTCTCTCACGCACACATGCGTTGTCACTGATAAGACTGACATATCATTGCCGGAATTCGTCCTTCTTACTGAACCCTACCAAAAGGTTTGCAAAGTTCAAAGTTCATTTATTCACTTAGGCACCTTTATGTGCTACAAGAGGTCACGTACAATACAGGGTGGCCTAATATTAGAACATTTCATACATTGGAAGCAGCAATATATCAGATCAGAAACATTATTACATTATACATAATCCATATCAGCATGAAAAAGGGTGTTTTACCTTCTCTCAAAAATAAGAAACACAGACGGTACTGTTATGTGTTGAAATGCCTATAGTGACTTGGCTAATTCATCAACACAGATACTGATATTACTATTCAGTAAATATACATTTGTAGCAGTAAAGTTATATTATATCATAATAGAAACTTATTACATTATAAATACTTTATAACAACAAACCCTATGTGTATTTTGCTGCATTTGCAGTTCTCTAAATGCTCTTTGTAGACTTGTACGGATATCTGTATGGTCGTTATGGATTATTTGTATGGTTACTATGGTGTATCTGTATGGTCACTATGGTATATATGTATGGTAACTATGGTATCTGTATGGTCGATATGGTATATTTGTGTGGTCAATATGGTGTATCTGTATGGTCACTATGGTATATCTGTATGGTCACCATGGTATATCTGTATGGTCACCATGGTATATATGTGTGGTCACCATGGTGTATATGTGTGGTCACTACGGTATATCTGTATGGTCACTATGGTCACTATGATATATAACTATGGTCACTATGTTATATCTGTATGGTTGCTATGGTATATCTGTATGGTCACTATGGTATATCTGTATGGTCACTATGATAACCATAGAGGTTTTCTCCTTCGTGTCAACGGATCTATATCTAACTAATTACAACCTGTTTACAATAAAACATTTGTTCTATACCCTTTTCTCGGCTATGCATTCATAAGGACATGCTTTATATGTCACTCCCAAATGCCCTTTTATTGGAGGAATATTGTCTGGATCCACAGGTTTGAACTGGAATCGTTGAACCATGGAAGTGACGAAAAGGAAGAGCTCTGACCTCGCGAGGGCCTCCCCCATACACACACGGCGACCTGTAACACAAGAGCAATTTACAGGTCACTCTGCATTCTGTAACAGTTCGGGCATATTTCTATAAAAATGTCGACAAACGGTAACTATGCTTCAATTTCACTGATACAAATATTGTGCAGGTTAACAATTTATGAGTCAACATTAACAACATCTGATTTCAATATGAATTAAGATGTATTAGATATTATCTCTTCTATCTATATCTCAGCTGTATGGCAACTTATTCTTCATCATATTAGAGTGTCGCGCACCTGATCTCCCCGGTTGCAACAAAAGCGGGACATTAAAACTGTACTGTGTAAGACATGTGTTAATTTCGTGCACACTTTGTGAAATACTTATGTCGTCATTGTGGTAATTATTTGACAACCTCAGTTTGATACTTATGGTCTATGTTAAAATTTTCCAAATGCATGTCAAAGGTCACGGTCAAGGTCACATGGTCAAAAATTTTGGTACCACCGGAAAGGTCTTGGCACCAAGAACACACATACCCAATATGGAAACCTTACCTCTTACGATGCAATAGATATGGCAAGGTTAAAATTGACAATAGACAAACAAACAGGCAGACAACACGAAAACGACATGCACAGTTTTACATAACTATAATCACAACAGACTACTTACCGAAAAAGAACGGTACAACATGCTCCGTTCCACAAACATTGTCATCTTTGTCGATAAATCTCGATGGATTAAATCTCTCCGGCTCCGGGAAGAGTACCGGATCCGTGTGGACAGAATGGACATTTGTAATCAACATTGCTCCTTTAGGAATAACGTGACCATGGAAACTAACATCCGCACTTGTGGAGTGAGGCAAACCAAGCGGAACAATGTCCCCACACCTGAGGATCTCTGTGATGGTGGCCTCAATGTACGGCATGTCCGGGCGGTCTGATAGGGACGGGAATCGACCCTCTCCTACCACCCTCGTTACCTCCTCATGACAACGCTTCTGTACATCCGGGTAGTGGAGGAAGAACAAGATAGCCCAGAGAAGAGTTGTAGTGGTCGTCTCCATTCCAGCAACGAACATGTCGGCTATCGTATACACTAGCTGTGATACTGTAAGTAGACAATAACTTAACATGAGCAAAACGATAAAAGATACATTTCATCGCATCTATGAAACTACCAAAAACAAAAACATACGCAAGTCAAAAGAAAAATAAGTTAAAGGTTTCAAATAAATAAATAAATTTCTTGTGTCACTTCTTTCTATTACAATTCCATATGATAATTTATCACATAATCGACCTGTGCAGAAATCAGTGATATCATACCATGAACAATGATGTTAGGTGGCAAGCCACCGTTTGACTTAGTTTTGGACTTTAAGCTCTTTCAAAATATGACCTTTCTGAGCTTTGTGCAAAAGAGTCGCATGATAAAATCTCATATGAAATGAAAAATTATTTATTTAAGATCATATATTGAGAGAACATCTAGGATCTAAATATTTTCCAGTTCATTGCCATTGATATATATTTTAACGTGATCAATTAAAATATCGACATTTTGTCATTTTAGGGTGCTTGTTTGGTTGATTATAGGACTTCCGTCTCCACGACTCTTTCCTATCATTAAGTATTGTCTTACTGACGAACATCAGAGTTGTGATTCTGTCGACATACGGAGAGTAATGAAGTAACATCATTGCCCAAATGACATACTAACAAACATTTGTTAAAATTCATATATACAGTTTAACCACATTATCTCGAGCTCTTATAACTCGAAGACCCGGTCTAACTCGAAGTATTTTGCCGGTCACGGCCAACGTCACACTAAGCATTCGAACTTAACATAAATGGAAAATACCGATAAGTTTTCCTACGAACCCGAGACTTCGAGATAACGAAGTTCGACTACATATGAATAAAGTTTTTAAAGTTCCCGTCAAATTGAAATCTCCAAATATCTATAAATATGTATTACCATAGTCGTCGAGAATAACTGACCTATATTTACAACTGACCTATATTGACAATAACTGACCTGTGAAGGATGAACCCTGCCCTTCCTTATTTTTGATTTCCTTTAAGTAAACGTCGATGAAATCTTTTATATTTTCCTCTTCGTAGTCCTGCTGATGAACGTCAATAATACTGTATAGGAACTTGATGATCTTGTCGCTATTGTTGACGACTTTCCAACAACTTACGGGATCCCCTGGGATATACCGGAGACTCGGCATGAGGTTAAGAAGGCCAGCTGGTCCCACGAGAGACATGTTTTCGTTAACCGTGTCCACTAGTTCTATAAATACGGGGTCACCATGTTCAAATCTCTTTCCGAATATAATGGAACAAATAATGTTTGCAACACTGGTCTGGATACAGGACTCGGGATGTAGTGGTTGTCCTTGCTTCTCCTCAAGAACATTGAGAAATGCTTCCACCTCTTCCATTATTTTTCCTTCTAAACTTTTCTTGCCGAAGCCGAAATCTCTAAGTCCTCCGATAGCGAATGTTCTGTGTGTCTTCCATTCAGGCCCTGATCTGCTCACAATTCCTATATGTTTTAAAACAAAACAATTCAAAAGAACATTAGCATACGACCTTGTATCTTGACACACGCGTTCAACAGAAACAAATAAAAAATCAATATCGACATCAACTGATCGATATCAACTGATCGACATCAACTGATCGACATCAACTGATCGATATCAACTGATCGATATCAACTAATCGACATCAACTGATCGATATCAACTGATCGACATCAACTGATCGACATCAACTGATCGATAGCAACTGATCGACATCAACTGATCGATATCAACTGATCGACATCAACTGATCGATATCAAGGAGCTATATCTGGAATGATAAGAAGTGACGACGTGCTGCGAAAAGCGATAAAATGCAATGTTTCTACTCCAAGAAACACATGATATGCGTTGCACATGATTTATTCTTATCGCCTAAAATTATACAAATGACGTATAAATTTTGCAATATATCTATTTATCTATAATCGTTCTCATCGATATCATAACTATCATTTTAAACAAGTTTATTTATCTCACTAACCTTTTCAGACGGTATAGAACTTTGCTTAAAATGAACCTAAGATTTCTTGGCTTGTTGTAGGAATAGTTGTTTAATTCACCTTCATTCTATCTCTTAAAAATCAGTTTAGTTAATAACAGCATAATTAATGTGAATATTGACATTAAATGAACATTTCAGAGACTAGGTGGAGACTGAGACAGTTCAACAAGGTCATTCCACATTTGTAGACTCTAAGGTATCAAAGAAAGAGTTTGTAAGGGAAAGTCTGTAGTGTGGGATTCTACAATTGCTTTTAGCTGAACCAATAATTACTGCGAGAAATTTTCCTGCCAACACAACGTCGATTTCTTCAGTATTTGATTTAAAGACCATTACAATCTTGTCTGGATTTAAAGTCATTTAATTGATTCATGGTCTGTACTTATTACATATTTTTCAGACAGAAAAAGAAGAAGAAAAGAGGGAGGTACCGTCCGTGAAAGATGTGAAAATGACGATATTTTTCATGCTTACGATAGACGTCTCTACATTACATATATTTCGGAACGACGTCATTTTCACAATAGATAACACTTGATAGAATCTTGATGGTGCTGTGTTTAGAAGAGTAACTTTGAGTATTGTTAACACATTTGTATATTATACTCACAGATTTATCAATTAGATATTTTACTTATATCACTATCTAAAAGCATCGAAACACTTCTCATATAAATGATTTAAGTTTTATTCTTCAATCCTAGGGTCACCTTCTTCAGTTATATTTTATATGTAAAGTATAAATCACGTTTTTTCATCACTTCTGTAATACAGTGCAGCCCTTTTACTCTTTATAATATTTAAAAAAAAAAAAAAAAAACTTATTTTTTATATCTACCTTGCCATTTCATTACTTCCCTGAATGCAAATAGGTCAGGCCGGTCGGATGTGACGTCACCACGTTTGACGAAAAGTTCCCTGAGTGTGTCATAACCACTGACCACTACCATCGTGAACGACCCCACGTGCAAAGTGACCAAGTCTCCATACTTTTCCTGAAGTTTACGAAATGTTATCCGCTGGTCGGTCGATGCCAGGTCAAGTAGGTTACCTAGTAATGGGAGTGGTGTAGGTCCCGGGGGTAGGGATTTCAGTCTCTGGTGTCTGTCCCACAGATAATATACCACAACCAGAACCAGAAGTGTCCAGACTAGACCGCTGGAACTAGTGAAGAGTTCCGATAGATCACTAAACATTGTTGTGTCTGACAGGGTACTGGAAATAGGCCTACTGCAGTTACACATATACTGCGCCGCACAATTGCTCAGTTTACACACTACACCCTGCTACAGTGTGATGATATGCAGTTAATAATGTACCTTTGACATATCGTTCTGTTGTTGCATACGATATCTCTAACAGGATACTAGGATCAGGATGATACAATGAAATATTTCAACATGCTTGTTCAAATATGTTGTAACCAATATACAGAGTTGAGAAACAAAACAAAAATGTTGTTGATGATGTCAAACTTTGTCGTGTTGATAGAGATTAACATTACCCACTTGGTTCCCTCCAACAAATATGTAGAGTGTATATGTGTATGACTTTCCATAGTCACCTTGAAATATAGCAAGTTCTCTACAATATGATTACTTAATGTGATTTAGAAAATACCAGAGATGTGCAGAGCAATATATTAAGTATATTCAAACCTGGTCGTGCTAGTTAACAGATGTTCTCATCGAAGAATACCCGTGTCGCTTTAATCAAATTGGTACGGAGGCCGAGAAGTGTTAATCACGGATTTGAATGAAGATCTATTTCCGGTTTACCGACCATAAACTCTCCGAGTTGATTTTGCTCGTTGTTTGTTCGCTAGTGATATCCAGTATCACGGGGCAAAGTCATTTTAACAGATTAATGTCAAACATGGTGGTCGCCAGACCATCGAAAGTACATGTAACCAGAACGTAAGTCCACGAGTTTCAGACGTCAAACTTTCAACATTCTTCTCAATTATACTGAAATGCCAAATAAACGAAACTTATTTACCTGCAAAATGTTTTGTATTGAATTTTCATAGCGGTATAAAAAAGTCAGCGGGATATCAAAGTACCAAATCCCCAAATAAATGTTAAGAATCAATTATCTCTGGCAAAAAAACATCCATTACCAATATACTGTGATTGTACAAATTCGTGCGTTCTTTTTCATTCAAACAATTTCTTACTCTCGCCAAGATGCGTGCTCGCCAATACAACTTCAATCAATAATTGTTCTTACAAATAAGCCACGGCTGTCCAAACTTGATAAAGTACGGACGCTTGCAATGCTCACTGGAGGTAGCACAGCAGGTCTCTAATCCCTTCAGATTTCACAAATCAACTATAAGGTTGTTTACGTATCAACGCCACAGGGAGTGTTTATGACAGACCGAGATCAAGACATCCACGTGTAACGTCACAACGTCAGGATCGGTTCATTAGGCTTGCCCACTTGCGTGAAAAGAGGTTGAGGGCACGAAATACCATTGGTAATGGAAACTGTCAAATCCATCCAAAAACTGTGAGAAATTGACTGTGAAAGGTAAATTTACGATCACGTCGCCAGTAAGTTGGTTGGTCACTGACACCCAACGTCGAACACGTCGTATGCGAAGGTTGACGTCACATGTGCCCAGACGTTACCCTATGAGACGTCGGCGGTCCATGCTCTTGCAGATGAATTTCGATTCATGTTTTTTTCGATCAAATGACTGTCAACGCGTGTACCCCCTTCTGTTTTGCAGCGCGACAAATTTGGGTGTGGATTCGTGATGGTTTGGGGAGGAATTTACCATGGTTTGAATACACTGTGAGTTATCATTAACGATAATTTAACGGCTGTAGGCCCTTTTCTTCTTCTTCTCCTTCCTCGATCAGTCTAAATTTGGACACTGCAAAGCTATGGACCAATAAAAATTTACATATAATCCATCCTATATTTATTGATAAACAGCGTAAACAAAAATGTTTAAGGTCATAGGTCAGTGACGCTCGACGTACGTCAGACAAACGAATGGCGATTTGAACATCTGATGGAGCTGGACTTAAACCATATACTTTGTATACTTAATTGTATAAATTTTTGCACATAGTAAGGGATGATGATCATCATAATCATATGTTAGGAGTATTCTGCAAGTAAGCTGAATAATAATTTATATCTATGTGAATGAATTACAAATAAATATCTGAACTGATGAGAATGTGTGTTTACGTGTTGCTATGTCTGTTAAGTAATGAAATTTTCAAAATTAACAAAATAAGGGGAAACACTGAATAATTTGCTTGATATCTTCGCCGAGTTTAAAGAACTCATAATTTTATTTACAAAAGACGGTAAGTAATACTGATACTGAAGTTTTATCAATACAGCAAAATTTAGAAGTTGTAAAGAAATATGATAGCTGTGAGTCTCCAATGGGACACGATTCTATACTCGTTTTTCGGCTATACATTCATAGGCGTATGGTTTATGTGTCACTCCCAAATGTCCTTTGATAGGAGGGATATTGTCTGGATTCACAGGTTTGAACTGGATTCGCTGTACCATGGAGGTGAGGAAAAGAAACAGCTCTGACCTGGCGAGAGTCTCCCCCATACACACACGGCGACCTGTTGTAAAGATAAATATGTTCACTAGATACCGAGCGGGTTTGGTGTGTTGAAATTATAATTATAAGGCATTTTACATATCATAATTCAACATCGAGATAAATGTGTTTACTACCATAGCTTATTTTCAAATATTGAAAGTATACGGAATGAAACACATAACAACGTAAGCGCATCTTTGCATCCAGACTCCAAGCATCACGGGAGAATTCTGGAAGGACAAGGCGGCTTTCCGGTGCATATTAATTATAACTTAGGCTAATAATATATCTTTTCATTGTTTTGAGGTTGCCATTAACACGTGCACCTTGCTACAATCCCTCGGTTTTATTGTTGGTAACGGTAACTCACTGGAAAATATCACATTAAAGAATAAACCATGAACCGAGAACAGAAAAAGTTATAAAATCGAATGTTTCCACTTACCGAAAAAGAATGCTATAACATGCTCTGTTCCGTACACTTTTCCATCGTTATCAATGAATCTCGACGGATTAAATTTATCTGGTTCTGGGAACAGTACAGGGTCGGTATGGACAGAGTTGATGTTTGATATCAATATAGTTCCTTTAGGAATGATATGTCCATTGAATTTCACGTCTTCACTTGTGGCATGTGGAAGCCCAAGAGGAGCAATGTCCCCACACCTGAGGATCTCTGTGATGGTGGCCTCAATGTACGGCATGTCCGGGCGGTCTGACAGGGACGGGAATCGACCTTCCCCTACCACCCTCGTTACTTCGTCATGACAACGTTTCTGTACATCCGGGTAGTGGAGGAAGAACAAGATAGCCCAGAGAAGAGTTGTGGTTGTCGTCTCCATTCCAGCGATAAACATGTCGGCTATTGTAAACATTAGCTGTGAGACTGTAATGAGAGAATATAGCATTAGTCTACCAATGGAAGTCACAAACAGCTGTATTGTGGCAAAGGTGGGTCAGTATTTGGGGAGTTCTTTTACTTTGCAGTGTTTCTTTAAATGCTATAATTTTACTGTTTTCTATATATGCATTCGGTTCTGTATTAGCCACTTTATATTCTGACAAATTACGTATATATATGGGTTTTTTGTCGTGATGTGATCATTTCATTTTCAAAATTATTTTATTGTTAGCGTTAACAAATGGATTGGGAACAGGCACTGGCTATAATAGACCATGATGTGATCATTACACTACAACTGCCATATATTGATTGAAGTTTAAAAAGTCTTTGATAAGTATATATACTACTACAGTAACACCATCAAAATCGGCCAGACCGCCATGTAAACGTACCTGTAAAAGTAGTCTCCTCCCCTTTTTTGTTCTGTATCTCCTTTAAATATACGTCAATGAAGTCTTTAATGTTGTCCTCGTTGAAGTCTTCCTGGTGAGCATCAATGACATGGTAAAGAAATTCAAAGATTTTCTCTGAATGATTGATGACCTTTCTCAAACCTATTGGATCTCCAGGGACATATCGGAGACTGGGCATGAGGTTTAGAAGACCAGCGGATCCACCCAGGGACAAACTTTCATTTATTATATCCATCAGTTTAATCAATACAGGGTCGCCATGTTCAAACCTCTTACCGAATACAATGGAACATATGATATTTGCAACACTGGTCTGGATAGAGGGCTCGGGATGTATCGGTTGTCCGTGTTTTTCGTCAAGAACATGAAGAAATACTTCAACCTCGTCCATGATCTTTCCTTCTATACTTTTTTTGCCGAAACCAAAATCCCTTAGCCCTCCTATAGCGAATGTTCTGTGTGTCTTCCATTCCAGACCAGATCTGCTAGCTATCCCTGTGTATTAAAAAAATTATCGGTTTTATGAATTTCCCGAGAACATCAGGTGATCGACTGGTGTCGTCGAAAAAACAGAATATGTTGCTTAATTCTGTTTTAAATGGTCTCCATTTTTTTCAAAATTTGCCCTCGTTTTTTTTTAGGCATTATGAGTTTGAATTAAGATTTTGTTTACAAGTCGGTATTTTCTTTATAATTGTTGACCAACCGCACATGTCTGTATCCTTTAGAAATATTTTGCCTGCACTAAGTCAATTACCTTGTTATCTGCTATATAATATAACTTGTACAATATGATGGTTTATATACTCTGTTTTAACTGGCAATACATTTTATCACATAAATACACTGTTATAAGTATGATAAACCATTTACCTGTTATTTATTTGATTAGGCATCCTGTGAGCAAAAACAGGGAAAATGTTGAAATAAGAAATAATCTGTCCAATCAATAGCGTGGTAGTTACAAACTACAATTAATCATAATTCAGATGGCATGACTATATATTTTTTACTGTTTTCGTGAATATTGTGAAAACTTAGATATCAAAGTATTAATTGTTAAAAGAAACAACCAGTGATATAAAGCTTTCAATACCAAAATATTATCTTCAAGTTGATTCAACTCCAAAATGTTATCTTCAAGTTGATTCAACTCCAAAATATTATCTTCAAGTTGATTCAACTCCAAAATATTATCTTCAAGTTGATTCAACTCCAAAATATTATCTTCAAGTTGATTCAACTCCAAAATATTATCTTCAAGTTGATTCAACTCCAATATATTATCCTCAAGTTGGTAATTCGCTGATATTACCTTCGCCTTTTGATAGTTCTGTGAAAGTGAAGAGGTCAGGTCGGTCAGAAGTGACGTCACCTCGCTTGACAAACAATTCCCGGAGTGTGCTATAACCACTGACAACCACCATTGTGAACGACCCAACGTGAAGAGTGACCAGATCGCCATACGTTCCCCGTAGTTTACGAAATGAATTCAACTGATCCTTTGTGGCCAGGTCGAGTATGTTACCCAACAGTGGGAATGGAGTAGGTCCCGGCGGTAGGGATTTCAGCCTCTGGTGCCTGTCCCACAGATAGTATACCACAACCAGAACAAGAAGTGTCCATATTAGACCGCTACTAACAGTAAAGAGTTGAAATAAAGCACTAAACATTGTTGTGTTAGACGTGAATTCTCATGAATCCAACGCTCCACTCATTCTTGCAGTATAACATATACACAAAACGAGATACGGGTCAATAACTAGGTCAGCTGGAACCCGTCCTGATGGAGGGCTTAGTGTGTACACAAGTACATGTCAGGCGTATGGAGTAAATGTCTGGTACATATGATACCGAAAGAAGGGCCACTACAAGTTGTTTTCATAAAAGATGGTTTAACCTCAATAAAAATAGACGCATTAAGTTGACTCCAGGAATGTTTGTTCCTTTACTCAACGAACGTCCAGTAACGATTTGAAAAAAAAGTAGAGTTCAGTTTAAAAACAATAAAAAACTGAACAGTAATATCATTAAACACCATTTTTTTCCAATATTATTGAGTATTTAAGTTGTAACTTCACTTAAATACTTGGGTGTATTAAATTTGAATCACCATTTAACATATCAGATGCGACGGAGAGAAACCACAACATTAGATAGAACTATGTGTAAACGCCTAAATTGCTAAATCAGCCTTTAAAACATAGATAAACACATACATAAATCTGCTTTCTCTGTGCGTGCGTGAGGGTGCGTGCGTGCGTGTGTCTGATTTTTCGATGGATTTCATTCACTTGGTACGTGTACCTTGCACCCTGGGAAATATAACAATAATGAAATATTGTTACAACAGCATTTCTTAAAATACTAGTGCTTATTACTTCAAAGTCGTTCATATCTCGGCTTCGACCAAACAAAACCTTATTGTAGCTTCCGAAACACTGCACAGTTCGCTTTTAATAAGCATAAATATTACCATAGTTTTTATAAAGTTTTCAAGTAAAGAAATTCCATTGTCAAAAGCTTGCTTTATACAACAGAAAATAAAGATTTAATAACCACGGCTTCAGTTGTGAATGAATTTAGAACTCCCCTACCGGCAATGTAAAGGAAACCTTTGTAAACACGGTCCAAGGAAGCATTTGTTCAAGCGCCATGAGGAGGCTCCAACATAATGATTTTCGCAAAATTGTATTTAATTAATATTTCTTTGTTTTTCAAATGCTCAGGTACAATTCTATAAAATTTGTAGGAGAGAAAGTATTCTTTCAGAGCTCAAAGATTTCGCCTGTTTTTAACGCAAGACACAACTTAATGTGACATGGATAAGATATGTTCGTGTTTTAGTTTTGGGCATAACAGGATTATTATGCTGTGCACTAAATCTTTAAATAAAGTTATGAGAACATTTCTTATTTTGAATCCCTACTCTATTTATTGGTTTACAAGTGATAATTATCATCGCACACGAGACAATAGCTAACACTTGACCAATACATGGCAGTCATATTCACGTCATCTTAAACAGGACAATCACATTCAGGCCAACTTAAACATGGCAATTACATTTCCGTCAACTTAAAAATGACAATCATATTCCCGCCATCTTAAACAAGACAATCACATTCGGGCCAACTTAAACATGGCAATTACATTTCCGTCAACTTAAACATGACAATCATATTCACGCCAACTTAAACAGGAAAACCATTTTAGGCAATGCAATCATAACAAACAAATGAGACCAATAAGAATATCATACTTATTTCTAGATAATACAACTTTTTGTCTTTTTTATTTAATATGAAGCAAGCGTATGAAATCCTCGCTTAATCAATGACATAGAAAGACTACAGAATTGCCAAGGATAAAAAAAACAGAGATGGCAGAATCTGAGGCTCTATCATACATTATTATGAGGTCACACGCATACATATCAGGTAGACTATATTCCGTTCTAAGTTTGAATTGGCTATTGAATATTTCCTTCAATATTTTTTTCCGAAATGACCGCAAGACAGTTATTTTGATGCTGGCAATAAATTAAAAAAATCACGAAGATGGATTTTTAAAAGGTATAGAACATACCCAAAAATATAACTTGTCCAGAATGCCGTCTTAAACAGATCGTACAACTATCGGTCATGGTTTTAGCATTATCAAGGACCTATGAATTAACCTTGTTAATTTCTGGAATACTCTTCCACATCAGGTGATAATTGTGCCGTCCCTATTATCACTCAAAGGCAGGCTTGATTAACATTTGGCCAATGCAAATATCTGCATCAACTTTAAGGCCGGGTTTAATGTCGAAGGTATGTGAGGAAGATCCACAAGTGACCAATCTTTGTAATAGAAATATAGAGATAAAGATTAAGTAATGTTGTTTAATCTGCCACGAATAAATCGCTGTGTATATCAATTAAAACGTATAAACGAAGGGTGCCAGTGTGAGTCAGTGACTACTCATGATACGCTTAGTTTTTGGCAGCAACATAAAATATTGTGTGGATTTATAGAAAATTGAGTTCAAAGTGAAAAACTATAAATTGTAAAAATATTGTTAGCGTTCTTATAAAAAGGATTTTAAGTGAATTGAACAGTGTTCTGTTACGGAAGTACCATTCTTATTCATCTCTGAGTCACCACATTTGAACGACACACTTTTTGGAAAATTAGAAAGTGGGTCCGAGCACTGTTTGATGTAACATTTTTTTATCTAACATTCTCTGATGTAGTACTCTTTTCGTTTTTAAAGCAATTAAAATTTCCACTGATCCATCATGTAATGTTGTTTGAACAAGTTTAAGAACTGTCTTCCCTCATATACCATACCTTTCATTATTTTCCAGTGTCTTCGTTTCATCAACATGTTTTGCTGGATAATGAAACGACATTCTGGTGTAGCTGACAGCCATTTGTGTTGTCTGCTTTCACTTATCAATGGTGATGTTGGTGATAGACAGAAAATAGTTGTCCTGCATCTGGTGCTGTCACTGTCTGTAAACCTCTCACATACATATATATGTTGTATTTATTGCAATTAGGGCGCAAGCATTCCACCTGCTGCCCCCAATGCATGATCGTAATCCTTGGTCAAGGCACGACAAAATCTTTTAAAATTGCGCATGCTACTTTTAACGTTCAGCATTATGATGAGGTAGCGAATGGTTTGTCCTTTGTCAGTATACTGTAACCGAGTGCGTGTCCTACTGGATGACTTCGGCAGTATGATCCAGTGTGATAGCACTATAAAGCCGGCTTCAGCTCTGCATTATCACAAGGAGGCTTACCCGTACATATCGTAACCCCCAAAAACTGCGCGCGCCACACATATATTCGCTTCACAAAAATCGTGGGAGCACATCAAAATGTAAACCAAGTATTCAGCATTGACGGAAAACAGCTGCATACATGCATACTATCGTCGGAATTATTTTGTTAATTATTTAAATGTTTTAAAGACAACTGACAAAAAGTGACTTTGTTGAAAGTGTTTATTTTGAGTTTAAAAAAAAAACACACAAAAATACTATTATATGAATAGACGTTAGTGACTGTGTGACCAATGATTAGTGCAAACGTAATGAGGCTCAGTTCAGCTCTCAAAGTAGGAACAGAATGACTCGTGTCTTTCTTTAGCCTATCCAAAAATGTATTTTTTGATTTTCGGTGACCGACTATTTATGCATAGCAGAGTATTCAATTTATGATGATGATGATGATGGTATGTTCTTAAGTTTTCTTATAGAATATGCAAAGTAATGCAACAACACATAATTGTTAGAGTGTTGTGTACGAGTATTGCTATATGGAGGTATATAACAATTAACATAACCTATAAAGTTAATTAACTTTGATTCTGAAGGGGATTCTCACTGGTGAATGTTTCCGATATTCATCAGATGCAAATTTCATAGTTGAAAATGATTATGAGTGAAATCTATCGGTATTCTACACTCTCCTCTCCGCTATGCATTCATAAGCATATGGTTTATGTGCCGCCCCCAAAACTCCTTTAATTGGTGGAATATTATCTGGGTCCACAGGTTTAAACTGGAATCGTTGAACCATAGAGGTGATGAAAAGGAAGAGCTCTGACCTCGCGAGGGCCTCTCCCATACACACACGGCGACCTGTGGTAAAGATAAAATCGGACATTTTATTCGAGTTCGTTTATCTCTCGAGATAAATACCTAATTTTCATTCTTACCAGGGGTATCTAACATATCTATATTTTGACATTGCCTTGTGTCAATACTATGGTTAACGTTATCCTATGGTATCTATCAAATTTGTTGTAGCATTTGTCACATCCGTGTCTAAACACCTTCCAAAAAGGGACATGAATATATGTTATTATTGTAAGTAACTCGCCTATGTGGTCACAACAGAGATTGACCTTTCTATATCAATATCATGTTAAACTTTGACACAGCGTAATCTACATCAACCTTCCCACCTCCCCAACCACCCGTCACGGATATTAGAGATAAATTCTATTTTTATCTTATTAATTTGTAATAATCATATTTCATATAAACATATATCTTAATCAATAATAAATAAATTGTTAACAAATATTAGCTTAATTGTATAAATGTAATATATTTTGTTATAATGTCATGACTTCATTCTAACTTATTTAGTCTTGATAGGTTAGTTTATAATTACACAATGTACTACTATTTCCACTATGTTTTACGTACTATGATATATATATATATATATATATATATATATATACATTATATAAAATGACATTATATTTTAAATGTACATTGTATTCTTATGTATTAAACTTTATACTAATATGTTGTAAGGGTTAAAGTGAATAAACAATACAATACTACACTATATAACAGGCTTGAAGAAAATGTATAACTTCTCGTTACATTTTCGTATCTTGTCAGATAGTAATAAAGAAATTTATTGAAAATGTCGCCTGTGTTAACTGCTACATGTCACATTTATCTCAAGTAGTGGTACATTTCATTATATAACATGCATCTGACGATATAAAGTTGGAGAACCACTTACACCATATTGTTATAATTGTTTGTTAATGTGTAAGGTAGAAATTAAAGTATTGTGAGTATCACTACTTCACCTCACTGAGAGAAAATATTTATCTGAAAATTTAGAAATAAATTTTATAAAGAATCAAGGACAGCTTACCAAAAAAGAAAGGTATAACATGCTCAGTGCCGTGAACTTTTCCCTCATCATTAATGAACCTTGATGGATTAAATTTACCCGGCTCGGGGAACAGCACAGGATCAGTGTGCACAGAGTTAATGTTTGTAATCAACATTGCTCCTTTAGGAATAGTATGTCCATTAAAGTTTAAGTCAACGGTGGTAGCGTGAGCTACCCCAAGTGGAGAAAGGTCTCCACATCTGAGGATCTCTGTGATGGTGGCTTCAATGTACGGCATGTCAGGGCGGTCTGACAGGGAGGGAAATCGACCCTCCCCTACCACCCTCGTTACCTCCTCATGACATCGCTTCTGTACATCCGGGTGGTGGAGGAAGAACAAGATAGTCCAGAGAAGAGTTGTGGTCGTCGTCTCCATTCCAGCAACGAACATGTCGCCTATCGTAAACACTAGCTGTGAGACTGTAATAAGAGGTTTTACAATATTACAAATGGTTGTTTCTTAATGCAACTCGTATTTCAATATGTAAACATTTACAGAGTGAATTTTTGGAGAAGATACGAAAGTATGTGTCTTTACCACATTTCAAACTGTGTTTTTTACACCCCTGTTGTATTCAATTCATCTTTAAATCATTTCCGAACATGCCTTTCCTTTCCAATCGTTATCATAGAATCAATCTCTGTTACTGAGATATAAACAATATCAGAGCGTTGTTATTGGTGCTCACCATCTGCACTTCATAATGTAAAGCTGTGTCCACAATATTATCTACTTCAGTATCAGTTGAGGCTTATTTGACATACCTGTGAATGAAGAGTCTTCTTTTCTGTTATTCTTGATTTCCTTTAAGTAAACGTCGATAAAATCTTTAATGTTTTCCTCGTCGTAGTCCTCTTGATGAGTGTCAATAAGTTTGCAAATATATTTCACGACCTTATCTGCATTGTTAAGGACCTTTCTACAACCAGCTGGGTCCCCTGGCACAAATCGAAGAATTGGCAGCAGGTTGAGAAGGCCAGCGGGTCCCACAAGAGACACGTTCTCGCTTATTAAGTCTACTAGTTCTATAAATACAGGGTCGCCATGTTCAAATCTCTTACCAAATACAATGGCACATATAATATTTGCAACACTGGTCTGGATACAAGACTCGGGTAATATTGCTTGTCCTTGCCTCTCTTCAAGAAGCTTGAGAAATACTTCTACTTCTTCAATTATCTTTCCTTCTAAACTTTTCTTGCCGAAACCAAAATCCCTTAGTCCACTCATGGCGAACGTTCTGTGTGTTTTCCATTCTGGGCCCGATCTGCTGACAATTCCTATTGGTTTTGAAAATGTAGAATTTTTTTCACATATTTAAGATTCCAAAAATACAAATGTGCTGTCAGTGTTGATCAGATTTCTATTCAAATTAATGATAGATCAGACTTTTTCTACTTGTGTTCAATGGAATTATAAACTTTCATTTAATTATTGTGAAAAATGGACTGTAATGATATAGATATATGAGAATACGATGTGATCCATAAAACGTTTACTGTAGTGTTATCTTCTTCTGCCAACTGTAGGGGAGATAATATTTTTCACCATTTACTGTAGATGATGCATCATAATGTTTAAAGCTAAAACCAAATATTTACTACACGAAATGTCGAGTTATCAAATAAAAGTACTGTTTAGAAGTGATTCTTGTAGAAACATGCTTATTTCGAGTCATTTTCTTCAGTTTGGTAATATCAATAGAATAAAAGTGTTTATAACACAACTTGTAGACGAGTGTGACATTTCGATGACTACACTGTCACCAAATGACCAGTGTGAAGCGCACTAGCACAGACATACGTATTTAAGGTGACCGTGTTTTCATCAAAACGTCACACTGGGATCTTCTACTAGTCGATCTTTTGTTCTATAGAAACGTCCTTGATTGGACTAATATGTGATAAACATCCATTTTCTTCATTTATTTCTTTCATCTTTGACATCTCTTTTTCATACCGTATGATGATATTTACTCAATTTATGGCTATGTGACACGTCAGTCAAGTATACATTTCTACATTTATATCCCTCCTGTACATGTTCTGTACGTGTTTACAGAATCGTACACCATAACAACGGGTACACATATAATGAGATTTTAATTTAAATTCGTAACCTAGGTCTAGTTTCATGTTATACCGATATCTATCTATGCAGTTAATTGTTTTAATTATGATCTATTTTAGATTAACTAGAGAGTACAAAAATACGTCTCTTGATAATATACGTTAAACTTCCATTGTATGGTGAAATAAAGATGACCCAATAACATCCATGATATGAACTTCCCTATAATTCATTCATATGACCTTTGACATATTCCGATGCGGATTGGCCTATTTCGGACCTCGTTCTACATTAAGTCAATATCAGCTTATGTAACAAAATCCTTATGAATAAATACTCTCATTACAAAGTCAAGGTCAATCGATAAGTCCATTGACATAACAGGGGTGAATGGATAAGTCCATAGGCTTAACAGGGGTGTATGCATCTTTCAGAAGGTACACTGGGATACCTGTTATATAAGAAAAAAAAATGTAAGTTTACCTTTGCCTTGTGTTATTTCCCTGAATGCAAATAGGTCAGGTCGATCAGATGTGACGTCACCGCGTTTGACGAATAATTCCCGGAGTGTGTCATAACCACTGACCACCACAATCGTGAATGACCCCACGTGAATAGAAACCAAGTCTCCATACTTTTCCCGTAGTTTACGAAACGTTCCTAGCTGATCACCCGATGCTAGATCCAGTATGTTTCCTAGTAGTGGGAGTGGTGTCGGACCCGGGGGTAGCGATTTTAGTTTCTGATGCCTGTCCCACAGATAATATACCACAATAAGAACTAGAAGTGTCCATACTAGACCGCTAGTATTGGTGAAGAGTTCTACCACAGTGTCAAACATTGTTGTGCTTCAGCACTATGCGCCAACTTACATAAACACTACTAGAATGGGTCAAGGATTGGCCTCGACATTCCGTCCGCTGTGTTATTGTATGGTCGTTTTAACAGTATTGTAATCCACTGTTGGAGTGGTCAGTGCTGTTGTGTGTATAGATTATTGACTCGTTTTCAAGTAACAAGGAGCTATTGACGTCTGGGCGTAATAAACCACAAGTAAGGAGAAATTAAGCTATAACTGACAGGTTACAGCAAG